ATTCCATTAATTTCAATATCCATTCTTCAGCAGTAGGTATTTGTAAATCCTTCCATTTTTGCACATATAGGAGTCTCACCACAGTTATCATATAAAGAAATAAATGTCTGTGTTGTCTTTCTATTTGTTTATCCATCATACTTAAAAGAAAAGTCTCTGGTTTCAATTGCAAGTCTATTTTTAAAATCTTTTGAATCAAAATACATATATTCCAGTATTTCTTAGCCTTTTCACAAGTCCACCATAAGTGATAGAATATACCTTCACATTGATTATATTTCCAACATTTGAGGTTCCTTTATACATCTCTGACAATTTATCTGATGTCAAATACCAATGGTACACCATTTTATAGAAATTTTCTTTCAATGTATAATTGAGAGTGAACTTTAACCCTCAGAATGATAGTTTCATAGTAGTGTCAGTCAGAACAGATGCATTTGGCATAGAAGTTTGAAGGTTTAGCCAACATTTGAAGATACATGAAGCAGCCTAGAAGCCTGGAGAAAGATTTGCAAGAGGTTGAAAGAAAAGAGAAAAAAATGCTATTTTTATCCTCAGGCAGGCAGAAGTATATTTCTGAATAAAATAAATGAGATGTCTTTCACCTTAAGAATGTATTTGTAAACAGAATAGCACTTAGGGTGGAGAAAATACACAAATTACATATTTGACACTGCTTCAAAGGCTGAGAACAATACATTTATTTCATAAGTAGAAAAAATATTCTTGCAGGCTATATGAAAACTCAGAGCAAATAAGATTTCAGGTGCAGCTCTTGACATCTCTCATGGCTAGGAAAGAGTCTTGCTTGTATCACTCTAGAAAAGCTCATCAGCATAAAATTATTGTGAAACTTGATATGTCAGTGTTCTGTCCTGGTGTACTGCAGCTTTCTGTGTCATATGTAACTGACAACATGATGGCTACATCGGGCTTTGTGTCGCATTGGAAGGACTCCATTCTGAAATGGGAGCCCTAAGTATTTGCAAGGAACCCATGTTGGGCCCCACCCACTGATGGCCACAGAGGAGTACCTGGTTGGACATACTTTGCATCCTGCTATATATAGCTTCGAACCCTTCTTGGGAAGGAAGCTCCTTAATTCTAGAACCCTGACTTAAAGTGAGTAACTTTTAATTGTTTGGTAGACTTACAAAATACCTAATAGTAGGTGAGAGCTAGGTCCCCAAGCAAGGCATGTCCCATCTGGTGCAAGGTTTTTTAAAATAAAAGTGAGTGAAAGGAGTTAGGAATAAATAATAACTAATACATTAAATATACAAATGTCTCCCAGTAGATTTTCAGAAACGAAGTAGCATTTTGTGTCAGTTGAAACTTCTAGGTAGAGGACATTGCAGCAATTCAGTCCTGGAAGTTACAGAGGCATGGATTAATGTAGTTGTCTTGTCTAAGAAGTGAAGTTATACCCTCAAGGATGGATGCAATGTGGACATGTATCCCTGGGCAAGTTGATTATCACATTCCTCAATTTTGATGGCATGGTTTCAGGCATTTTCTTTAAGTTGGAGGCTTAAGGAGAGGAATATTAGTCATGAGCCACTCAGGGGCCTCCCATTCCCACCATTAACAGCCACGCAAAAAAGCCTGGAAAAAAACAGGTCTTCCAGTGAACTTACACATTATTCTGTGATGTTGCTACTCTTGATACCTGAAGTTGCCCATCCCTACCTAGATGAAAAGCATGTTATTTATTAACACTGATGATCTAATTTATGAAGGAACAGTGCTGGGTTCTGGAATACCCACAGTGTATCAATATTGCTGCATAAAATTATGGAAACGCAATCGCTACAGAGAAACCAGCAATAGATGAGCATTTCATGGCCATCTGCAGCCTCTCGGGCCTCAATTTTCAGCCTCAAAAATATGCCAAGCTCCTGCCACCAAATTACAGTAGCAAAATGTTTCCATTTAAAAGTGAACATGTCTGCAAAGAAAAATAAGTCACCATCCTTCATTCCCTCCCCACCCCTGCTGAAAAACATTGGCTCTGCCTATCCAATAAGTCACTGTGTCACTCGCTATCTCCCTTTTCTGCAATCCTCAAGAGATCATACGCACACCTAGGTAGGTTAAAATGCTGCCCTAGTCTGAAAAAATGAGATTCACATCTGACCTGGATGCTTTAGATACAGAGAGCTATGACAAGAAAGTCAAGCAGTGAGTTAGAGTAGGTTTACTTTCTGAGATTTACTTTCCATAAACAGCATTTTTTTTTAAAAGTTTAAATATTTCTCAGCTGAACTGTAATTAACGCGTGATGGGTATAAATACATTAAATGGAAGCATGGTAAACCCTAAATAAAGTGAGAGAGAGAAAAATGCTGAACCGTTCTTTTTCCAAACAGACTTTAATAACTCTTCTTAAGAACATTTTTAGGATCTGACTGAGTTCAGTTAATCCCAACCCAAAGGCCTTATTTACATAGCAAATAGTTTGAGACGTTGCTTACTTGTATTAATTAATAATTACAAACAGGATGAAAGGCTTCAAAATGTTTTCAGAATGCTTCTAGACAATGCCTGTAATGCTGAGTCTAGCGCTGTATTTTATTTAACAGGGGGAAAAAAACAGGCAGTAAATTCATCCACATTCTGTTAAATAAAAAATGTCTGTCCCGACATCTGATTCATCTGTGCATTGCTTTAGCCTTCCATTTGGATTCTTGGGAAAAGAAGCAGTTATATAACATTACAGCTGCATTATTGCTGCCTCTGTTCTGAACTATATTTTCAACTACACATTTGCTACAAGTGTTCACACAGCTACTCTGCATGTGCAGGCAGACAGACACATACATACCACTGGAACAAGTGATATTCTGCCAATGCCACCTTCATGCAAGCCTGCAAGAACAAAAGCCAGCTCAAGCATCCTATTCTACATTTCTGAGAGGTGGCTGTAGGCACCAACAATTCTCTGGTCTCTGGAGGCTGAGGAATGTGGTCTTGCTCCTTAATTGGACTGTTTGCAGGAGAGAGGGGGAGGGGGAGGCAGAAGGGAGTTGATGTCTTCGATTCCTTTGTCCTTGTCCATTCCAGATCGCTTCCTAGGCTCAGGGCTTTCCTCTGACCATCTCCCAACCCTGTGCACGCCCTTCGCCACCTTGGGTGCATTTCTACAGGGGTTGTGGTCATAGATCACCAATTTCAAACCACTCAGGTGGATGAGACTGGGGAAATCATGAATGGCGTTGCAGTCCACATCAATCACTTCCAAGAAGGGCATGTGCAGAAGCACTGGTGGGAAATCGGTCAGCCAGTTGCTGGAGAGCCAGATAGTACGCAGTTCCTTCAGATACTGTAGCTGTCCGGGCAGAGAGCGCAGTGCATTGGATCCAGCATGCAGTGTCTTCAGGTGCTTCAGCTCACACACCACATTGGGCAGGTGATACAGGCAGTTGGATTCGATCCATAACGTCTTGAGGTTTTGGAGCTGATGCATCTCTGCGGGCAGGTCTCCCAGCTTGTTATTGCCCAGATACAGGATACACAGCTGTTTCAAGGTGCACACCACTCGGGGTAGTGTGTGAAAGTTGTTGAAATCCAGTGCCAAGATCTGAAGGTTCTGTAACTGTTCTAGCTCAGGGGGCAGATGATTCAGCTTGTTGTTGCTCAGGTACAGCTTGACCAGCTCCCTGAAAGAGCAAACACACAAAGGAAACCGTCTCACTTGCCTGCCACTCAGATCCAACATTTTATCAATTGGCATCTCTTCAAGGTCCCCCAGGATGTATTTCTGGCACTCATCAGATGGGAGAAAGGCTATAATTGCTCTTAAAGTGTTGCCCATTCTTAAAAGCTGCAATGGCTTTTGGAGTCCAATGAATAAACCTTGTGGATGTAGAAGCTGTCTGGGTTTTACTCTGCTGTTCTGGCATTTCCTCTTCCCAGTGAAATATAGGCATGGTCTACATAGCAACAATCATGATTTTCAAGAGCCCTGAAATATTTCTGATAAGTGAATGAGTGTCTGCTGATGAGAACTACAGACATTCCTGTGGAGCAGCTCTCATAGAAAAGGGCAGTAAAACTATCACAGTGAAGTTCTAGTTGAACTCAAATGTTTTTTGGAATGCTTCTGAATCTCCTCTTTAGGAAATTTCATTTTTGAGGTTTGTGTTCCGTGCCTTAATGACCACTAATGTCGTCAACAATAATCTCAGCAGTTTATCCAGTCATTTGTCTGGCTGGGTTCAGACATTGTGTTAAGTTATGATATGGCTCCTTGATTTTGGTTTAGCACATGGTATGAATCCATGCTTATGGTGGGGTGAGCAACATTTTTTTTGGTGTGGCTGTTTTTTTTTTTAATTAGGAATATGAAGGCCACAGTGGCATGACACAGATGAAGTGACATCACTAATAAAGATAGGGACAAAATATTGGACACATTTTTTGGGGGAAGGGGATATTTAAGAAAAAAATTCAGCATGGTAAGTGTAAAAAAGGTAAACAATCCATCTTAGCCTTCAGCTCAGGATACTCAGGGTTGACTGTGCTCAGCTTGTTGAAAGTATTTATGGCAAGCAGCACATTCAGTTTTATGTCACACAGAGTACTGACATGGTCCTCTGCCAGAAAGATTAAGAGAACAGCAGCTTAGAGGAAGGTACAGAGCAGGAAGAAGGTCATAGGGAGATGAACTTACAACAAACTTCCCCCAACCTATAGTCCAACCCAGCCTTCGAATGACCACAATTCAGCATGGGAGCTCTAACAAAGCTTGCGATTATAACGCACAGTGGGAAAGCAGAGACCACACAACCTTTATCCCTGTGACATTTTCCTGCTGAAAGTGGTCTCTTCCAGGTATTAAATATCAGCTTTGCTAGTTAAAAAATTAGGCGAGGGGATGGAGTTAATTTCCCCTCCATTTCACAATGATCCTAATTCAGATCTGGGTCCCCATTGGTAGGATTTTATTTAAAAAGTAGTAAGCATGGAAGGAGAAATGTTTTAAATCATCATCTGATCAGAAGTGGAATGGATTAATGCAGTTTGCATGGCACAGTTAGTCACATTCTCCTGTCAGAATGTGGCTTTTCATTATCTGAAATATTAATTATTTAATATGACAACTTATTTGTGCTTTGTATTGTCGAAGGCTTTCACGGCCGGCATATGATGGCTGGTGTGGGTCTTCCAGGCTGTGTGGCCGTGTTCTTGAAGTTTTGTTTCCTAACGTGCCAGCATCTGTGACCGGCATCTTCAGAGTGCAGGAGCGCAGACAGGTGCAGGTCTGGGCACAGAGAGAACTGCTCCTGTCTGTGCTCCTGCACTCTGAAGATGCCGGTCACAGGTGCTGGCGAAACGTTAGGAAACAAAACTTCCAGAACACAGCCACACAGCCCGAAAGACCCACACCAGCCAACTATTTGTGCTTTGTTACATTTCTTTAGTGTTCAGTATATGTTCAATATAAATTTAGGTGGGAAGCTCTGTCTTATCATTTAACCATTAACCTGGTTTATCAACATAGATCACTATGACCTTAGGTGATTGCAGCTTGTGACCATTGACAAAGCCAAAGTCTCAGCAGGGAAATCAGGGCATTAAACAAAGTATTGCAGAGAATGAGTTTTGGAAAGACTTTGGTGTGTGTATGTGGGGGGTGGGGGTGGAAACTGATTAATACATTTGTTCTACCTCTGAAAGATGGAAGCTTTCAGAAAAACAGTCTTTGCCTCTTTGTCTGCAAAGAATGAGAGCCACTTCACAACGTTGCTTTGGGTGTCAAAGATGAACTGATTAAACCATAGGCTTTGTGGCCTCTAATAGTGTCATGTGAAAGAACTTTTTTTTTCCTGCAGCTGAGAAATATGCAAATCTGCTTAGGGGTAGAGCTGAATGAGGACCAGACTTTTGAGTTATTATTTTTTGGTATAGGATCATTTAAATTGCAGAATGATTTCTCATCCCACCAGAGGTGGCTATATTTTGCTGGAATAATTTGCATTGATGAATGAGAGGGCAAGTGTTTAACCTGCTTCTTGGACTGTAAGGAAAATTAAAGGCATTGTTTAACACCTGGTGAGAAGCTAATTCGTTTTATTCATATCCCACCTTTCTTCTAGGTTATTTAGGGCACAATATGCAGTTTTTCCCTTTGCCAATATTTTATTCAACAATAAACTTGTAAGGCTGAGAATGATTACTAGATTAATGTTAATGGCTGGACATGGTTTGAACCCTGTTTTCCTCAATTTTAGTTCATTCTTACCACAAGATTGCACTGGTTCTGAAGTAAGACAAGGTCAAATTAGTTTCCTCTATTGAGTCATTTAGCTGTGTGACATTCATATTTTTACAGGGCTCTGAGTTTATTATTTATTTACTGTTTTCCTACTACACCTTCATCACAAGGATGCTCAAGCAACATACATTGAATTCTGAAAACAAAATATGATTACAATATTACAATATAATCCAGTACAAACAAAGTAGTTTAAAAGCCATAACCAGCAACCAACCAACATCTATCTAAAATTAATCTCAATTAAAACTGAATAGACATTCCATAAAGATAATTACATGTTTAAAAAAAATTGTGGGCAAACCGAAGTATTTTAATCTCATGCCAAACTCTGTAAATTTATGATAATAAGAAGACTTCTTTACAGTCATAGACCACCATATACATTTCAAATCCATCATAATCCATAAAAGCAGTATATTTCTCAGATAACAACTTGCAGAGATGCCCACCCTCTTAAAGAACTCAGTGAACAGGCAGGATGCTCCAGAAACAAGTGTTCCTTCAGACATTTGGTCACAAGTGATCCATGCTCACTTACTTGGAGATAAGGCTTTCAAGGACCGGTGTGCAATTAGGTAGTAACTATTAAAATAATTTGTGTCAGAAAATGTGTTCATCTACTAAAATAGTTCAATGATTTACCGGTAGATCCCAATGTAGGGTCTGCCCACCCCCAACAGGTTACAATATTTACACAAAACAACCACACTTCTCTAGCACATTGCAGATGCACTGCCAAGCAGCTCCTGACCCTCACCTACTGACTGACTCACCAACAGCTGATTGTCGTCCAATGAACCACAGTAACACATAAAAGAGCAATTGCTCAAAGAAATCAGCTGCATTTTCATTTTCAATACAGTGAAGGCATGAAGGTTCTCTTAGTAACTCTGGTTTATACTCCATTCATCACTGCTCTAATAAGGTAAGGAAGAATTTCAGAGCATTATTATCTTATAAAGAAATGTATCAGTTTACTTCAAAGGCTTCTTTAGAAAAGCTTATGATGTTTAAATAATATAGGAAGGTATTTATTAGAAAATGACACTAGTTTTCATTTCTGGCAATACCAAGAATGTTCTTTCTCATGTGCATGCATAAAAGTTTACAATCACATGAATTCAGTTCCTAAGATACTCGCTTTTACCAGGCCAGATTATTTAATCACTAAACCTAATTTATCTACTATGAAACTAGGTGACATGGTACATGTAGACAAGTCCTACTGAGCCTCTCAATTGTTATGGTTCATATATATATATGTATGTATGTGTGTGTATATATAATATAATTTTTAACATAATAAAAGCAATACAAATATTAAGAAAGAAACAAATAAAATAAAAAAGAATAGTGAATAAGTAAAATAGAAAAAGATAAAATAAAAAGAAATAAAAAGAAAAGAGAAAAAGAAAAAGAAAAAGAAAAAAAGATTATAAAGAAGCAGCTTCTGAACTTTTTGACAGCAGTTACAAATGCATTTGTATTTTACCGTCTTTCTTTAGGGTTACATCATAATTTCCTTCTTCCATAAGCTACCCTGTTATGTTTAATTTTTTTAGCTAATATTTTGGGTTGAAAGAGGGTCCATTTGGCAAGTCCAACAGTGAGTCTCCCTCAGCTCCAGACAGTGATTGCTACCGACTAAGACTAAGACACACTTCTGAGGCCTGAGATCTTCCAGGCTGAACTGGCACAGAGTGCCCCATACTGCATCCAAGACCAGCATCTCACTAGATGGATTGCATATAACAGGTAGCTTACTTTTTAATTGTCAGTGGCCACTTTTTCTCATGGACAATCTCTAAATGGTTCACTTCCAGTGAATATGTCCAATTAAACTAAGGATTATATGAGATAAAGCCCATGCACAATGTACTTTGATAATAGTACCAATGAGTTCACCAATCCACAAAGCAGGGAGACAATGCAAATCCTGACATTTGGTAAGTGGCAGTGCCAACATTCAAATCTGTGTTTATATTATTCAATCAGGGTTCCAGTAGTCCAGTTCAATTCTATCCGACATGTACTTCGAAAAAGAGGAGAACTGGGGCAGTTTTGGAGGGATAATTTGCCTGAACGTTTTGCTCAGAAGTACCATCGTTGCTTTCCATCTGAGATTCTTTTGTCCATGGGAACTGCAAAGGAAAAGCTTCATGATTACATGAATGTGAGTATATTCCTAGACAGCGGAATGAAAAGAATAGGCTGGGACAGCCCTGGGTCAACCATTCAGCAAAATAAACATGGACTTAGTGCACCAAAAGAAGGGGGACACTACAGAGTTTTTTCCCCTAGCTATCATGCCCTGCACTCAACTTTAGTCAATTTTTTTGTAAGAATTACCAATCAAAGCAATGAAAATACCAATCAGATACTCACAGTTAAACTCACTGATAATATTCTTGGCACACACAATCATGTCATAATCTGGCAGATGCCAATGATGGTTAATTCCTAAAAATAGATTGTGAGCTGTGATTATGATGGTCTCTGGGTTGGTATGGAGAGGAATCCTGATAAACCTCTGAAGGCAACAGTGACTGATTCTCTCTTGACATCTCAGATTCAATGGCTCACTTTTTTTTTATCAACCTCAGGATTTTTTCAAGCTTCACAATACATGTAATTGCTGCAGAGTTCATGTGGAGTGAGATGTCACCGGTATGCTGATGACACCCATCTCTGGAGCTATCTGCACAGGATGCTCTGACCTCCTTGACAGTTGCCTAAGTTTGATAATGGGCTGGATGAGACCAAGTGAATTAAAACTCAATCCAGATAGGATGGGAAAACTACTGGTGAACAGAAAACCATCCTTTGTTGAGTGGTGCTTTAGTGGTTTTGAATGGAGTTGTGCTCCCCCTGAAAAAAGCAATTCCACAGTTTGCCCCTTGACCCCACAGATAGCTTTGGATTCCCACGTGACAAGGACCGCAAGGAGTATATTTGCACGGTGCCTTACGTAACCAGTCCTGAGCTGCTTGACGTGGCCAAAGTTCCCAGGGCTCACTTACTACTATAATGTATTTCGTATTGGGCAATCCTTGAGGTATCCAATGCTGCCCTTGGTGTAAAATCTAGCAGCCAGGCAGCTAACTGGTGCACAGTACTGAGAGTAAATTGAATCCACATTAAAGGTCCACAGTGGTTGGCAGTTGCTTTCTGGCTACCATTTAAAGCATTGTTTTTAACATTTAAAGCCCTAGACAAAAAACCCTGATTACCTGTGGCACCACCTGACCTGTAATAAACACCAAGATCAGGAAGAGAGGTTCTCTTCAGATGCCCTCACTCTCTGAGGTCTTCTTGCCAGGCATATATATGGGAGAGACCTTTCCCTACACTGCCTCTGTGCTGCATCCAGGAACTGAACTCAGTCTCCACTTTTTCCAGTTCTGGAATAGGAGTTAAGACCTTCCTATTAGCCAGCCCTGTTCAATCTGAATTAGTTTACAGTGATACTTTCAACATCTTAAGTATTTATGCTTGACTATAGTTGAGTGCCATATAGGTATAATGGCAGAATATAAATGGAAATTTAAAAAAAAAACCCTAATACAAATATTTGTATAGAAACACATATGCACCTCACAAAATGCATGACCAAGTTCTATTATACAGAATTAATTTGAGTATGCAAACAACAACAAACCAAACCCCAAAACAACAACAATAACCACAACCAATAGTAGAGTTTATTTTACTGATTAGGGTTCAGCACTCCACACAATATTGTCCCCTCCACCCACAACGTACTTCTGTACTGCTCAAAATGCCTTCTGTGAGTTGCCATGCACTGACCTTTTTTCCTTATTTCTCCTTTCTGCTGTACCCTGCTTCCCATGCAACTTTTTGGGGTTTTCCCAAGCAACCTTCTCAGACCTACAGGAAAAGCTTTTGGAAACCAAAATAAGCTATGGGGGAACAAATGGGGAAATCCCATTTCACGAACACAGACTTTGGATTCAGACTATTTTATGGTTTACATTTATAATGCAAATTAAAAGCAGGTAAAGAAATAGGTAATAAAAACATAGTAAGTCGAATCCAGTTGTGCACTGATTTCCTGAAAAGATCTTTGATGTAGAAGGAACTTCTATTAATGGAAGGGTTTCTGTCAGTTCCTCCTATGCTCCCTGAATGTTTTTTGTTAAGGGCTGGGAAGCAACCCAAATAGTGTTAAAGGTGGCATGTGGAGCTGAAAGAACTAGCAAAAATCAACTCCCTTTATCTGAGCTATTATAACATTGTCTGTGCTAATAGTATGCTAGACTTTAGGCTCATGGGTTCCATTAAGTGTTTTTATCACAATCACAGAGTCTACTAATCAGAGCTAGATGCCCGTTAGAGAGCAGAGGGCACAGTGGAGCCAATGCCCTTTCTAAACCCATAACTGATCTTCTGTATTTACAAAATAATAATTCTGAAGCTGAAGTTGAAATTTTAGGTATCAGCGTTTCAAACTAAAAAATTCTCCAGATGATTAATAGGTTCTGCATAAGACTTTGGTCAAAAACAATTCATTCTAATATTTTACAGTTGGGAAGGCTAGCTATGAGAGAAACCCTCCATATCAGTTTTTCTCAACCTTGGCAGCTTGAAGATATGTGGACTTTAGCTCCCAGAATTCCCCAGCCAGCATACTGTCCTTTCTTACAAAGTGCCTGGGCTGAGAGCTTAGGATTGAAAGGGGTTTAGAGCAAGTTGTGAGTTAGTAGATGACTGACTACTGAACTGATGCCTTTTCCCCCCTAGGCCCAATACTATGGAGAAGTGAGCATTGGCACCCCCCCTCAGAAATTCACTGTGATATTTGACACTGGATCTGCTGATTTTTGGGTACCATCAGCGTATTGCATCAGTGATGCTTGTGGTAATAAATATTTATATCGTTCAAGTATTTAAATAAAGTCAACAATGAAAAGTCCAAATTATGCACTAGATAATTCTGCCATTATATAGGAAACAAGGGGAAAGAATTGCTAAATTTTGTGCATGACTTGCCCCAATGCAATGATCTCTCATGGACATGGAACCCTTTTTGATGAGGAATATTTTAAAAAGTTAATTCTACTTTCAGGAAGAAGTAATGGGTTAAGAGCACACTTTATTTTTACAGGAATACATCAAAAATTCAAATCATTTTTGTCACATTCCTATAAACATGGAGGGCGGCACTTTTCTCTGCGATATGGCACTGGGCATCTCATGGGCATTTCTTCCAAAGACATAGTCCAGGTGAGAGAACTGCTGTTATCTTCAAAGGTTTTATGTTTTCTGAGAATGTGTATCTACTAGAATTAAGAAATAAATTGCTGGAGATAAATATGGCCAATTCTCTTCTAAAAAGAATTCAACTAAAGTTTTGAAGGAAGGCTTGGAAAGATTGCAATATATGTTGCTAACTCCCTGGTGAGATTTAGCTTGAACATATTCAGAGCATCTTAGCTCTGGCACCACTGGGTACTACTGAAATTAGAAACCTTCTTGTTAGGGGAGCAAAGGAGCCAGGAATAATAATATCCCGAGGAAATAAGGCTTGCATGGGAAATGAATACTGCTTTTCTGGAGTTAGAATGTATAAAGCTAGAAAGAGAAAGGTGGGGGAAGACAGAAGAAAAGATGGATGGAATTATGTTCTAATAGAAACAGATAGCACTGCTGTGTCACCTTTGGAGTCATGGTGTGGTTCCTTGAGTCCCCTCTCATTTGATGCCAAATATTGCTACTGCTCTCTCTTTCTCTTGGTCTCTGGTGAAATATATCAACCAAAATATAATAAATAGGAAAAAATGATACTACAGTGACTATACAGCCAAAAAAGAAATTAATACATAATAGTGATTAAATGCATCAATAATAGTGATTAAAGTGAATTAAAACTGAGAGGAAAAAAGGGATTCATATAATATTCATACATAACTAGCTAAGCCCTTTAACATATTATTAAATCTAGACCACATAAAAACATATTGCTCCATCTCATCATTTAACAATATAAAGACACTTCAAAAATTGATAGGGAACACATGTCTTGAATCCATTTTTTAACATCAGAGGTTTTAATTTCTTTCCATTTATGTAGGAGTATCCATCTCAGTCCTACCAAGACTGACTGACTGTGGGTTTTGAAGCCACCTGGTTCTGGGGATATTCCATCTTTGACCTTGGATAGGGTAGCACTTCCCCATTCAAGGAGGTTTTCATGGACTCACACTTCCTGCTTGATGAGCAGGTGGCAGCAATAACCAGGAAGGTTTTTACACAGCTTCATCTGGTGTGCCAGTTGCACCCTTTCCTGGACTGGGAGATCTTTCAGTCAGTCACTCATACCCTAGTCACTTCACAACCTGACCATTGCAATTTACTCCACATGGGGTTGCTTTTGAAGACCACTCAGAAGCATCAACTGGTCCAGAATGTGGTAGTTATGGGCATGCCCTGGTATGCTATGTGATATCTCTGCCCTCTGAACTGCACTGGTTGCCAATTTGCTTGTGGGTGAGATTCAAGGTCTTGGTTATGACCTATAAGGCCCTACTTGGGATAGTCCTCTTTGTCTGAGGAACTACCTATTTCCTATGGTGTCTGCCCAGTGAATTTGAGCTGACAGAGTTGGCACACACTCCCACTTTGTTTGATTAAACAGTGTCATCTATCAGGACCCAGGAATCAATGTCTGCCCTTTAAAATGACGTTCCTCCAGAGATCCAGATGGCTCCCACCCTGTTGACATTCCAAAGTGCCATAAAGACCTGGCTGTTCTCCCAGGCCTTGGACTACAGTGGTTGGTGCCCCCTTCACTGGATGTTAATTGTTGGTGGGGTGTTTTGGGGTTTGCTAGATTCACCATCTTGCTTTTATTTCTTTTTATTTGTCTGAGTCTTGTTTTGTTGTCTGTTTTTATATATTGCTTTTATATTTTTTGGTATATTGTGAGCTGTCCAGAGTTGTTTGAAGTCAGGTGCCATCAAATTAAACAAACAAATAAATAAATATTGCTGAGTCCCAAGCTTGCAAAAGCCAGAATTTTCATAAAATATCAATTCCATAATTTGGGAGTATAAGTCAACACCACATTTACATTTTTGATTACTATATTTCCCCCCAAAGTTATGTTAACCTATGTAAGAACTTGAAGCCAAAAAACAAAAGAAAAGAAAATGGACAGAAAAGACCAAATCATATATGTCCAACAGCCACACCAACATAACAAACCTGATTTCCACCTTTTTTGAACATTATTTGAGAAGTCCAATAAGCATATAATATGATTTTATTATGAGTTAATTTTATTCCTAGATAGTAAAACAATGTATTTTAATTTCTTACAACTGGAACCCATTTATTAGCAATTTTGGAAATGCAAAGGCCAGGATGCAAAGAATGTTCAAACAACCACGGTAAAGCAATACTGAATTTGTGAATAGTACTGAATCACCCTGAACCACCATTTCTTTTTATATTGTCCTTCTGAGACCCAAACGAATATTATATCTTCCCATATCTTGCTTAGAAAAGGAGATCTTTATGAATAAAAGTGCGTGTTGATGATATAGCAATAATACCATCATTATTTCTTGTGTCTTTAAGAGGAATACAATTTAATAACAGGCTCATCTCAAAAAGTTAAGCAGTGTTAGAAATGGTTAATACTTGGATGAGGGTAGTAGGATACCTTCAGAAGTTGAAAAAACATTCCAGAAGAAGGCAATACCAAACTACATCTGTACTGTTGCCGAGAAAACCACATAGACACATTCATGAAGTCATTAAGAGTAAAGCTTGATCTGATGGTGATTTTATCATTACCTCTTTAAAAACAATGAGAGCTGAGGAATTCCCTTGAAATGGTTCACTTGCTATGCAGTTACAGTATCTTTTTCATATTGTTTTTCTTTTACAATCAATGAACAGATTAGCAACATTTCCATTGAGGCCCAAGACTTTGGTGAATCTGTCTATGAGCCGGGCGCCACTTTTATCTCCGCAAGTTTCGATGGGGTGTTGGGCTTGGCCTATCCTAATTTGTCAGTGGTGGAGGCTCTTCCAGTCTTTGACAATATAATGAAGCAGCATTTGGTTGAAGAACCTGTGTTTTCCTTCTTTCTGAACAGGTCAGTATTTTGACGTGAAAAGAAGGGAGAACATTAATATATATGAATGGAGGAGAAACAGATGCACCAGTTGATCAACATCTACTCAAGAATTACTTAATCCACATAGTATTGCCTCTTTGGGGGAATGGTCCAGCTCTCCTCAAAAAATGATACATATACCAGATTATTGGTTCATCTAACTCTGTATTATATATTCTGGGATACATTACTCACAGCTCTTAGATAAATACAGTTGGAAAACTCTTGCTTGGCAGCCACTGGGGTTTCCTTCTCTGAAAATAAGCCACCAAATCACAACAACACGATTACCTGTTAATTTCAGCCAGCCTGTTTGATCAAAGCTCTGCATTACCCTGCATGTTTTTTTTTTAAAATAAGAAAATCTATGTTTCTATGAGCAACTTTTTCTAAGTATAGATTATTACATGTCCTACAAGCATATTCCCTAATTTATTTGTATCTGTATACAGCATTTCCAGTTGTATATATTATACACAACTTTCCCAAATATATATTCATTGCATGAAACTTCCCCGAATATGCACCATTTGTATACAATTTTGAGCTGAGAAATATTTTGAGATAGATGCTAATAATTTGCTGATTCATGCTACAACCACTTCCATTTTGGCAGGTTACACCGTTTTTCTTGAAAATAAATCCATAACAGGTTTCTTTACCATCCCTAATTTTATTTCAGATATTTTCCTCTTATTCAGTTTAACAACTGCATTTTGTACTCATCAGCATTTGCTTTTCATTGTTTTAGAGATGGCATTGAGGATGGGGGTGAACTGATATTTGGAGGTGTAGACCATTCTCTCTACAATGGACCCATTCACTGGGTTCCTGTCACTCAGAAAATGTACTGGCAAATTCATATTGACAAGTAAGTTTGCTAAAACAGAAATCTTGAGGTAGGTGTAATAGAAACAACTTCTGACCCCTGATGAAGCAGACCAAACATAACCTATCTACAAATATTATGCCCATGCTTGAGTATGAGAACCAAGTTTCTGTGCCTGCACTGCTGGCTGCCAGCCAACAAGAGAGCAAGCTGGATGCCTGCCACAGTCCAGTGATCTCTGAGCTCAGGAAGAATTTTTAAAAGAAAAGAGTCCTTTTTAGCAATATGTTATGACGGCAACTGTAAACATAGTCACAGGCTTAGCATAGACAGAGACCAGGAATCCAATAAATGAGTGACAAGACAAGAGCCACAGTGAGGGGGAATCCAAGGCACAGCCAGTAAATGTGACAGAGCTGAGGCTTGAACAGTTGTTCTCAGCATCTTCTCCCAGGAAGGGAGGCCAGTACACCAGTCCTGCTGAGCCTCCATCTAATACACAGCTGCAGCAGTTGGCTCTTCTGTTGTCTTGTTTCCTGGCAAGTCTTTCCAAACTACGGAGTAGTTCTCTCTGTGGCTGAATCTTTATCATCCGCCTCTGGTTTGGACTGGTGGCTGGACTTCAGAGTCTGAGGGGCTGCGGGTGCTGGCAAGGAGTCCTGGGGCTGCCTGGAACTGCATCAGTGAGAGTGGAGTTGTTGGTTCTGCTGTTACGCCATCGTTACTGGAACCGCCCATGCCAAGACGATCCTGATGCCCCGGATGCCACTTTCTCACCATCCTGCTCATCAGAGGGCATGTCTAGCAGGGCCATGACAACCAAGCTAGCTGGGGCATTTATTGTGCAATTTGTTCTTTCATGATTTTTTAAACATTGCTCACCTCCCACCTCCAAAGGAAAAACAATTATAGGTTGGGCATTTTACATAGGCGTTCATAATTTTTTGTGTGGGTAAATTTTTATATAACTATAATTTTATTGCAGAGCAGACTTAGTTTAACTATATGATTTAATTTTCTTTTAATATTTTCACTTATAAAAACTTTTCCAGAAGAGACAGTTCACAGAGAAAGCAATCCCAAGGTGTTTCCTTTGAATATCACTGGATATTTTTGTTTATTCAAGAAAACCAGAAGCATGGTTTTCTTCTGTTCCCATTATAAATAAAATAAATTGCATACTTGCATGGGTTAGATGATAATACAGTATATATTTGCCAAAGCATACATTCTATTACAGAATTTTGCAACAGGTACATGTGAGATTGAAGTATTATTTTTTCTATACAATATGCAAAAATACAAATGACATTAATGTAGAATACAGACGTAACGTTTATGAATGTGTGTGTGTGAGTGTGTGGGTGTGTAATACAGAGAGAGGAAGAAAGATCTGAGGTTGGCTGTTTCTTTAGCTATTTAATTTTGTTTTTGTATTCATCTATTCCAACTACTTGCAGTCTGTTTCAAGACTATGAATGTTTGCACTTTTCCCTCCCCCCCATCCCTTTCATCCTTCCCACATCCAATAATGCAGTGTGAAAATCCAGGGACAGATCACAGCTTGTAAAAATGGCTGTGAAGCTATCGTAGATTCAGGAACCTCTCTTATTACTGGTCCATTCCATGATATAAAAAAACTACAAGCAAAAATTGGAGCTGTCCCCAATTCTCCTGGAGAGGTAAATAAAATGCTGGGCTGGACAGGATAAAAACTGTTGATATGATGGTGACACAATCATATTAAAAGAGAAAAAGAACTTTCAAAATAAGATACATACTAAAACACAAAGATTTGTTTTGCTGAAATGTAAAATAAAAAATGAAGTTTTTGTTTATTATGTTAAATGCATTTGCATGCTTAAAAATATTTATCAAGCCACAAGATTCTAGTTTTGTTTGACCACCTACAGTATCTTGATTATTCTTGATTATTCTGGCTATGAATTAATACAGTGTTACAAGTCTTGGCCAACTCGGTGCTCTCCAAGAATGTTGGACTACTGAGGTCATAATACTAAGCCAGCATTGCCAAATTCATAATCTCCAATAATTCTGGCCATGCTGACTTGGAACAAGTTGTTCCAGCATATAGGGGAAGGTACTAAATGGAAGATGGTTAGATGAACTGGCCAGCCTAGGGCTATCAGGTTTGAGCTGCAAACATTTGGATGACCACTTAAAGAGGGCTTGCTGTATCTTTACTCTCATCTGGATTTTGCTCTCCTCCAGGTCATTCTTCACAGGGCAGCAAGGCAACCCATAACTTTAAAATCAGCCTCTCCCTTTTATCCATCAGATCTCTGATCCAATTCCCCAGCTTGGGGACCTGGATCAGCTCAAATAGCAGCAGACCAGCGGTGGAAGTGAGGGATAAGCTTGTGGGGTTAAGAGGGATAATGAGGAAATGCTAGTTCTTCCTCTGCTGCTTCATGGCACAGTCTTTCCTATGGGCCTGCATTGTTGTTCTGGCTGCTTTTGAACATGGCTTTAATCACTTTTTCAGAAGAATGCTAAACCCATGTAAAAAGTTGCTTGACTTAACAATTGAGAAATGCGAAGGGGGAAGTTGCAAGCAAAGTGGGAGTGAATTTTGAGCAATCTCTCCCCATTGGTCAGCTGTTAGTTTGTCTACTTTTGAATGCAGGTTCATGTTCTTCTAAATAGTGGTAAATCTGTCCTCAGGAGGAATGTAAAAACCAGCTGAAAGGAGCTGGGGAGCACATGTAGTGAAGCAGGATCTTTTCCTCTTTACTGTTCAACCCTGTTTTTCAGACCTGCTGATAGGTGCGGAAAGGTAAAGAATTAGCTCCCACTAGAGTTTGTGGAAAGCCTGGAACTACTTTTGACAGATGCTCACTTGCCCTCCAGCCTTTTCCATGTTCCTGTTGTGAAAAGAGATTAATGGATATTTTCCCACTGGCTGGTGACATTTGGTAGAGAGGGGTGGGAGACAATCCACCACTCCTCTTCCTTAACTTCCCCTGCTCATGGTAAATATGGGCACAATCATTTGGAGGCATTTGTCCTGTAGCAGGATAGGAATTGTTACAGAAGAAATTTTATACTAGTATAGTTTTATGCTGGCTGACGAACTAGTAGACAGACTTTATGCAAGTCATGGGAAAAACCTCTGATATTCATAACAAGTGACAGTGCAACAACTGCTGGTTCTGAAAGCCACCATCGTTTGAAAGCACTCAGTGCCTTTCTGGACTGAAAGCCATAATCAATTATTTAATATTGTTCCTATTTAAGTTGTTCTAATTCATGCAGATCTCCTTTGAAAAGTTTTGATGACCTTTTGCTCCCATCTGTTGTGTTTACATGATTATGAGTTCTGCGATACTGGTATAGTTTAAGGTTGTTACTGTATTTAGCTGTGGCTGTGAATTCTTTTTAAGACTGGGATAACAGTCCAATCTAATGTAGTGCATTTGAGTAAGTTTCATGGCAGAAATTTTTAATATCTTTCACACATTCACCATCTTTATAGGAGGAAAAGAATTGCTAAAGTTAGGAACTCCACTGTGTAGCCCCAGAACTGTACTTCCCTCTTAAGATTATTCCACTTAAATCATAACTGACAGATGACTGCACATCATCACCTATATTGATTGGCCCCTTTGACTAGCTTGATAATAAAGCTTGTTTCTGTCACTGCTGCCCTTGATATGCAGCATGTGGCTAGTGAGCAGCTGTGCACACCTCTGAAAATGGTGTTTCACATGTATGACATGCATGTAGGACCTTGTTTTGAACCATTAAAGCAATTACATCCTTTGTAAGGCTCACACGATTGTTTTAACAGTTTTAAAGAAATGTTCAGTACACAGGCCCACACACTGCAAACTATCTCTTTGGATGGTTTTACTAGGGTATGAGCCTTGCAAAGAACATAGCTGTTTTAATGATTCAAGAAGTTCCCCTTGGTTCTTTAGCCATTCTTTCAAAGATTTGTATGGCTGTATTGCTTTGTTGGCCAACTCTCTGTTACTTATGGTCAGTTTAACTTTATGCCAGCAGCATCTGTAGCTCTTTGTCAAAGAACATAGGGTGGCTCTATCCAGCCCTGTCACTTCCTTGTGCTCATCAGATTGGACGTTGCACACCCAGCTGTACTCAGGGGAAGAGCAATTTGTGGAGACTGCATTCTTATGACAAAATATTGCCTCTTTACTAGTTACAATATCTCCTTACACTGCTTTCAGTAAGTCACTGTATCAGTTCTTTGGCTTATACTGTGGAAAATAGATCTAGATAAATCTAGCATTTACCGTTATACTTAATTGCTAAAAATGAAGCTTCCATATTCAGATGCAATGGATGATCAGATGTCAGGAATTATCAGGAACAAGAAGATGTCTTTTTGTTGGTTTCTCAGATGTACGACACCTATATGCCACTTTACAAGTTAGTGTAAATGGCGATCAAAACTTTAAAGGAATGCTTTGATTTATGTTACAGTTTCTTGTGGACTGCAGAAGACTTTCCAGTCTGCCCTCAATAAGCTTTACCATTGGGCAGAAAGAATTCAGATTAACAGCACAGCAATATATAATTAAGGTATGTTTCCAAACTTTAGTCCAAGAGCAAGTATCCAGAGTGAGCAGTTGATTTGGCTGCAAGAAATGTAATGGGCCTGCTGTACCCTAGTTGGCTCCCAGGAGAGAGAAAAGAGCAAATGGTGACCCTTCTTCCAAGCAGTTCAAGTGAACATGGCTATTAGGGAATGATTCTGGAAGCTGTAATTGAGAAACATCTGGAGAATCACATGTTGACCAACCTCATGCATAGTGTCAGCTGACTTTCTGAAGTTGCCTGAATGGCATCCTTTGTTCATAAGGTAGACTATGTCTTGGCAACTCATGATTACACCTACATTTTTTTGGAAGTGAAGACCACAGTGGTTGGAGCCTTGCTTCCAATGTGGGTAGTACCAGGATTTTCTGCTTTTCCTGGGTGTGGGGCATTTGTTACTATTATTTTAAAACTCAAGTATATTACAGGACTTATTAACTTGCTAAGGCTAATGGGGGAAATCAGACTACTAAGTTTGGCAGCTGTGGTCAGAGGGAGCCATCAGGCTAGAAACCAGGAGACTATGAGTTCTAGTCCCATCTTAGGCCCAGAGCCAGCTAGGTGACCTTGGGCCAGTTACTCTCTCTCAGCCCTAGGAAGGAGGCAATTGCAAACCATTTCTGAAAACCTTGTCAAGAAAACTATAGGGACTAGTCCAGGCAGTTGCTAGGAGTCAACACTGACTTGAAGGCAAAAGGAAGGAAGGAAGGAAGGAAGGAAGGAAGGAAGGAAGAGAGAGAGAGAGAGAGAGAGAGAGAGAGAAATGTTGAATTAACATGAAAAAGTTTTCAAAATTGTTGATGAGCTATATTTTAAAATTGGACAAGGGTGAATTTTGAATATTAAATAAGTTTTACTACATGTATTAGTTCAAAAACAATTTCACACCCTTTAGTTAAAGGGACGAGCCAACTTTCTCATGGCCACAGCCCCGTTTCAGGTCCAGCACATGTTACCCAATGGCAGTTCTTTGTTTCTCTTTGGCAGGAAAAAAGCAGAGAAGAGGCCTTGTGTCTCAGTGGTTTCCAACCGTTGGATCTCATGTCTAATGAAGCACCAATGTGGATTCTAGGAGATATATTTATGTCAGCTTTTTACTGTGTTTTTGATCGTGGGAATGATAGAGTTGGCTTTGCAAAGTCAGCTCCTAAAGGAAAGAAAATAAATCAACAGCAATAGTAAAGCAGCACTGGCAGAGTTAATATTGATCATTTTATCTTTCACACAATGAACAAGAATTGCTTCTGATGCGTGCAGAGAGAATGGGGAGCAGAAAGTGTAAGAAGATTTAACTATCTGGAGACAACTTTCACAGGTGGACTCTGATCTTGATGTATTTATGCTAGAGGTATAGTGGTTTTTTCCAATCTGCTGACTGTCAGATGTGTCAGGGCTAACAGGATACCTGACTGGAGATCTATTTATGATTGAAACCTCAAAACCTGTTAAGGAGCCATGCCAGAAATAGCTGAAGAAAGTTTTAATTAGCTTAGCTAATTTACATTTACTTGGATCACAATGTATGTCCATTTTTGTGTGCAAAGGACAGTAGCCAGTCCTATATATACTTAGCTGGGAATAGACATCACTGAAGTAAACTAAACTTCTTTTGTTCTGAGGTGACATGTAATTCTGTTGACTAGATTATTACTACCAAACTGGTAAGTGAAAAGTTATTTGTCTGGAATAACTATGTTTCTTGTATTACAGTTGGCAGAAAGGACAATTGTCTGGCAGGCTTGATCTGGCCAATGGCATTTCCTGACCTGTTTTGCTAGATTCTTTTCCATTTCCCAGCTCATTGCTGACAGAGGGCAGCTCTTCAGCAGAGGGAAGGGCCTTTTCTTCAATGTAGACTCAGGCATTGGTACACTGTAATTAGCTGGATGTGCGGCTGGATAAGATTCCCTTCCCCTGCCATGAAGATAGGCAGGATATTTAAGACTACTATCCAATGCATACTTACATGTGAGTTTGTTTCATTAAAATCAGAGAGACTTGTTCTTGGTAAAATTAAAAGACTATGCTAGTTAAGGCGGCTTAAAAGTAGAATTGCAAATGTAGAATTGCCAAAACCTATATAAGATTTACTCCTCATAACGCTACTAAGACCCCAAATCAGCCACTTTCAAATACCATCTCTCCATACGAATACTGCACTTCTCACCAACATTATTTTTCATAGGCCAAATATGTTCAGAGCTATCATTTCTCCTTAATCCTCCTTTTGTTCAATCTGTTTGGAGTTTCAGATGTACAAATAAAATAAAGTTGATCAAGAAAACAATCTTCTGAGTCTTTCTGTTTTAAGTTCATTTGACCACTTCGTTTTCACCTGCCTGAAAATTAAGATCCTACTGAGCACTAAATCATGGATTCTGTTCCAATGGAGGCACCTGAATTTCAATAGTTTCTCAGGCAGCAGCATGAAACCAGTCACTTTTTGGCTTTCCCTCTGTGCTTGACACTCAGAGTGTCTGATGGTGGCCTGAAGGTGGTAGAGAACTCTCCTTTATGCTTTTCTCTCATTAAATGCCCATTTCCCCCCCATACCAAAAAATACATGAAATGATGACATGCATTTCTTTGAGATGTCATCCCAACCATGGAATATTTTCCCACAAACAACAATTTCATTGATATTTTGGCAGTAGGCCAAGACTTTAAAAAAATCAGTGCTACCCTGACCACTTTTCAGTCTTTTCACAATAGAAATGGATCTTAAGGACACAGGAATGCAAGAATTTGTTAGAGACAGGTTATTCTCCGGGAGTTTCTCAGAGCAGCAGTGCAGAGAATGCAAACAAGCAACTGCCTCCAATGAACTGTTAAGAGGGAGTGTAAGAAAAGGAAGGCCAAAAGTATCTTTATATAGGGGGAAGAAGGATTTGAAGCAAGAGTGGGTATGATTTCTGTACTACCTCTCCCACCTGTTTAAAGATTCTCATTGGTTGTAATTTCTTTTATTCTTTAATTACAAAGAGTCTAGTTCTTAGTCACATTTGTTTAAGTCCGTGGAAACTACTGTCTAGTTCATACTTGCCTTGGGGGAACCTCATAATTTTTTATTATCATTATTTGTTTCTGCTGTTCAGAGCAGTTCAAGCACCCTGTTCTGAGGGTCTTTGCTTACATGGAAGTCAAAATGCAAGTTGTCATACCTGCAAAAGTTTTCCTTTATTTAAGCAATGTCAGCTAGGGATGGGTTTTAGAGGGAGTGTTCACTGTTAAATACTCATAGTTTACTAACAAATGAATGAGGCTACTTATAAAGAGACAGAATGCCAGTTTCTTGAACTTTAGTTATCCTTCCCTCTCTCTCACTCCTTCTGACATATACTCCACTATATCTTAATCCTGTTTGATTTGCATTTACATCTATCTAAAATAAAAGTAGGTTCAAACATTTTTAAATTGATTTTATCAAAATAAAAGCATTGAAAAAACATAGTAGGTTAGACGTTGTGCAGGCTGCAAAGCTTTGTTTCTCCAAGGGAAATTAACATTCTGCATTCCAGGAGTTCATAACAAAACCATGAGTCCATAGCTTTCTATTTGTCAGAGGTGATCTTTAGTAGAGTGGAGATCATTGTTAAACTCAGCTATGTGAAGAATATCGGTTTCTTTAATATCTGCTTGCTCTAGTAAGTAGCGTATGTCAAGTGTATTTGGAGAAGTAGGACTAGAAGCCGGTGTGCTTTCTGTGCTTAAGTTGCTTTTTTCAGAGGAAGTTGCCAGTTCTTTGGTACTGAGCACCTCATGTTGGGCAAGAACATCTGGGAATCTCCATCTTTGATTATCTGCTGTATTGACAGATGACTTTTGAGATGAGGGTGATTTATCTCCTTTCGGCATGCCCAAGGATGAATCCTGCTGCTTGGATTCCATATGAAGAGGTTTTGTTTCTGAAGGCGTTACCAACAAATCTGCATTACTATTGGGTGATCCACAGTGGGTCAGCACAAGTCCTTCAGAGTCTGTCTCTGACTCACTTTGGCTGCCAAAATCTCTTCCTGTCATGACATGGGAGACGTTGTGCATCTGTGAATCCACTCTGGTTTCTTTGTTCTCAGTTTTGACAAGAGCCTTTTCAACCACTGGTGAGCTTGCTTTGGTAATTCTCTTATCCATTCTGGATTGGTAGGAGGTCTCTGGAGCATCATTCTTGCTGGTTTCTCGAATAACTTTAAGATCTATACTTCCATGCATTTTTCCATTCTTATCAGGCCAGTCATGAATTTTCCTGGCATTTAAGGGGAAGTGTCTCCCTCTAGAGTGCATTTCCAGCAAAGTATCGATATGATGCATTTCATGTGAGGGGAAAAAAATTGAGCTTTCACTTGACTGTCGTTGGTAGGTCCTCCTGCTGGGGGAAGGAGAGACTTCTCGGACACTCAGAAAGCGCTTCACTTTTCGCAGCACCGAACGCTGCCTTCTGGGTTTATCATCATCCCAGAGCCAGTTTTCTGCATGGGAGAACTGGCTGTCTGCCAGGCTGCAAGAAAAAACATGCAACATTCATTTCATGTATGTTTATTACGTACATAAGAGCAAACTGAGGTCTCTGAGTGTGCATGCCTAGGCAGCCCAACCTCATCCATAAAATGGAAACTACATCCAGAGCCTTGGGAGAACTTTGAACTTTACCACAGACAAAGGAAAAAACTCTGTAAGGAGAAATGGAACTGTCAATCCTCAAACAACCACAGTAAAACCTGAATAGGCCGAATGATCATTCCTGAGTAGGGAGAATGAGAAAGGAAGGGGTAATGCAGTGGATTTTCTTTGAAGAGGCATGGCTGGCTGGCTACCAGACAGAACACAAGCACTTCCTCTTGCAACATTTTGCAGATCCTATTTGAACTTTGTCATTGGAAACAATTGCTTAAGAAATGATTTAAATGCAAAAATAGTTCAAATGCTGTTACAGTCATATTATTAGATCTGCAGTCAACCAGTTATTTTTTAAATAAATAATAATAATAATAATAATAATAATAATAATAATTCTCTCCTGTTTATATATAACTCAAGGCAGCAAATATACTTAATATCCTTGTCTCCTATTTTCCCCACAACACCACCCTGTGAGGTGGGTTGGACTGAGAGACAGTGAGTGGCCCAAAGTCACCCAGCTGGTTTCCGTGCCCTAGGAAGGCCTAGAAGTCCCAAAGTCTCCTGGTTTCTAGGCCAGCACCTTAGTTATTACACCAAACTGGCTCTCATAGAGCAATATCTATGCCATTATTTTATTATATATTATACATATCTCATTTTTCTTTGTCTGAAAAAGTTTTTATTACTTTTTATTGAACAAAATGAAACATCAGAATAAAAAAATACAAAGCAAAAAAGCAAACCAACATAAACCTGCCCTCAAAATCAAAACGTGGGAGTATATTTTTTTCTTAAGGAGAAAAAAATCCCATTCATATTCAGTATCTCTTCCCAAAAAGAAACCTGTACAGCTTCTCCCAACTGTATCTCTTCCAGCCATGTAAACTTCAGTTCCTGACATTCTTAATAATAACTGTGCATGCTGGGGAATTCTAGATGAATTCCAGATTATATGAATATATGAATAATTTTATAGTCAATTCTTGATGACTGAAAGTAGATTTAAAGGGGATTTTATGACATACATTTCCAAGTTGATTAATTAAATTCAGATCCCAAATCCTCTTACTATATCTTTCTAAAATGTTCAAGAGAACCTGTTGGATTTGACCTAAGAATTTCATATAGCACTGAAGTGTTCCTTTGATTTTAAATGATCTGCTTAAATGCTGTTCATGGTTTTAGTCAGTGAATTCTGGTAAGCCAAAAAGAAATGTTTGAACTTGTCTGATCTGTCCACTCTTCCTCCTGCTGAGTGAATGGTAGGTCCATCCATTTTATCCCCACAAGAGTCCTCTGAAGCAGGCATATCTTTCATTCCTACCTGAGTTCATATCACATAGTTAAATTACATTAAAAATGTAACTAAAAGCTAGGATCAAGGCAAAGAAAACATTTATTTGCTAGTGGAAAAAAAGGACATTTTTTTATCAGAATGCCCAAAAGTAATCAAAGGGAATTCCATAGCCTTGTTATTGTGACTGAAAAATGTTCCTTGTTAACAGACTTCCAATGGTAATGTGTTAGGGGAAACAAGATTTTAGAGGAAGAACATGAGGGGAAAGGCAGGCTCTTGTCTATCTGGCTTTATTTGTTTATTTTAAAAAACTTACAAGAAGAGACTGTTAATGATATAACACATTTGGATGTGAAAAAGCAGGATAAGTCATTGAAGATTTGCATACCCCATTTCAATAGTTGATCCAAGGAAAGATGGAATGCAGGAATCTGCAGCTGCTAATGTATATGGTGGACGAGCTGAGGAATCATTCCAGTAAATATCTTTTTTCATTCTTGGTAGATTCATATGCATTTCATCAACAGCCAACAGTGAAACCTATAAAAATGATTAAGAATTAGAATACCTGCCACACAATTTAAAAGATCTCAAATATAAGCCACAATCCAGAGAACTGCACAATTAGCTTAGCATACCCAACATGAACATATCATTTTTATTTAAAGCAGCAACAAACTGTACCTCTTTGGACCAAAGGTTTGAAATGTGGTTACTATTTAAGAGGAAGTGAATCCTTAGTGGATGTATTTTAGATCTTGGATATATAGTAGCTAGCCTTGCTGTAGCCTTAGGTTCCAATCAGAATGAATCAAGTTAGAATAAGAATTAGACAGCCTCAGAAGGGGAAGATCCTGCTGCAGGACCTCAATGCATATTAAAGAGTCAGCTTATGTCATGTCACCCCGATAGAAGACATTCTACCTGAGAAGTCTACAGGGTCACCAAATCTAATGCACTCTGGCTACTCCCACCAGCATAATTTAAAAATCCCAGGAACAGAAATGACTGTGCTCAAGACAGGGGAAAAAACCCTAAGTATAGTTTGGAATGGTTCTTTAATTATGCTCTAAAATATATTGCTTTCTAATATTACTACCTGAACATTGCTGGAACAACATTTCTTTCTCACTCTCTAGATTTGTGCTCACACTTCTTGCTGGACAGCTCCAATATTGCTTCAGCAACCTTGCCATGGAACTGCATCTTACTCTACTGGACAACAACCAACAGTATATTCTGAATGCTCCATATTGTAGCATTAATTGCAGTTGCACACAAGAAGGCGGCCTTTGTAGACCCCTTGACAGTAACTTAAGACAAAAGTCTAAGCAGGAATTGAAATATAAATAAAGATAAAAAAAGGACAGAACTGGCAATGAGGAACCCTCAGCAGTGAATAGAAGGAGAGCTTGCACAGTGAAACTATAAAATAGTTTTGAAACTATTTGAAAACTGTAGATGTTTTTACTTTGATCTGGAGAATATTTGTAAAGGTGGGAGCAGGATGCAACACCTTGTGCTACTCCTTGTTAAAAATTGCAGAAAAGTAAGCTTATGATGTTGCAAGGCAGCAAAAAATAGTCATCAGCTGAAGCAAAAGGGTGTCACCTGGAGATTCCTATCAATGCACCAATTGGTTTCAAAATCATCATCATCTTCACCAAATGGGTTGATAAGCTGCTCAGCAACCTGTAATTAGAATTGGTTATTTTGAGCCCAGAGTTACATATTATCCCAAGCTGATTTATAAACACATGTAACCACTGCTGATATGAATAATTATTCGGCAATATCAAGGAGAAATCTACATAGAATAGATACAGTACACTGTATGGTGTGGTATTTATAGACACACCATATTTACAGAGTTAATTGTTGGTTTTTCAGGAATCTATTGCTTTATTTATTAGATGGATATGTTGCATTCCTGTCCAGATAGAGCACTCAGGGCATCCTACAGTTTAAACTGTACATACAGATGTAACAAAAATGAACAGAGCAAAACATTAAAAACAGAAAGATGAAACCCTAAATATTTGCATATTTATTTATTGCAGGTATTTATTTCCTGTTGTTCAGGATCACAATCCTCCCAAATTATCTTTCAAACAATTTCACCCAAACAATACATATTATTTAAAAACAAAATTTGAGGAACCTTTCCACAAGACACTTGTTGGTAATGGATGGCAACCAGAGCAGGCTATGGGGATGGTCTTACCCTGCCTTTCCACTCTCTCCTTCCCACAGAACAGTTGATGGAATGAGTTATAAGCAATCAAAGGATGTGGGATGTTGACTTTTCATGAGTGAAACAGCCTGTCTCAGTCTGGTGCTACCCAATCCCAGACAGTTGGGAAGTGGTGGACTAGAATGAGATAGTAGAAGCATGAGGTGCAAAAGGTGGCTGGGAGGTGGGATTCTTCTGAATATTCTTCCTCGATGGTAAAATATGTTACATCTAGATAAATGATACTAGGTTTGTTAATTGCTTTGCTGCATTCATGTTTATTATTGGCACTGTTTGATATACTTTCCCAGAAAATATCATTGACCTCATGCAAAACCTTTGTACAGGTAATGAAGCTACAGTACAGACAGATGTGGTTATGGACTGGGTCCAGATTGGCAAAGGAGTGAGACAAGGCTGTATATTTCGCTCTTATTTATTCAATTTACATGCTGAATAAATAGTAAGGGAAACTGGATTGGAAGAAGATGAGTGTGGTTTTAACACTGGAAGAAGAAACATCAATAATCTGCACTATGCTGATGACACAACTGCAAATGCAAAGGATTTGCAAGCTGTAGCAATAAAAATCAAGCAGCACAGTGAAAAAAAAGGGACTAAAATTAGAGCTCTCTGGAGAAGGCTCTGAAGCTGGTAAAGGTGGAAGGAGAGAGAAGAAGAGGAAGACAGCAGGAAGGTGGATGGACTTGGTTACAGTGGCAATAGGTGAACCACTGAAAGATCTGATGGTCCTAGTTAGGGACAGATTGTCATGGAGAAAATCTGTGTGTTCGTTAAGAGTCAATACCAACTTGATGGCACATACAATAATCAATCAATTGATATACTTTGTATATTACCATGAATTTCAGAGTACTCTGTTTATTACTTCTGAGATTTTTTAAACGTCTATAAAAATAGACATTTATTTACTTATATTTTTCCTGGCTGTTCCATAGCTTTTTCTTCTAAATGGGCATCTAATCCTTACATCTTGAAATGAGACTGCAATGCCAACTTGCATTTTTCTTTTTATGTGTATGTTTATTTCACTATTAAACAAATAAACTAATAATGTGATAATAACTAAGTAAATAAATAGAGTGCTCAGTTAATTGTATCAAGCAGCTAGACCAGTACACAATCTAGCACTCTCAAAATACTTTGTACTTCAATTCCATTAGCTCCAGCTAGCCCAAAAAAAGTATCATGGCAAGGGATTGTTGGAGCTATAATGTGGAGGACACCAACTTTCCTCCTCCTCTGAACAAGGTAGATATTTGTGCATTGGCAAACATACAACAGGACACCCTTAAATGAATGTGAAAGATATATACAAGTGTGACTACAGCAAGAAACTTTGCACTGCTTGGCTGCATGGCTCATCTGCCATTGGTATGTAGCACATAATCTCACAGGATGGAATGGAATGCAATGCAAGACAATTACACGTTATTTTAGATACTTGGCTACCACAACGAAAAGGATTACAGACTAATCCTGGACAACAAGAGCTAGGATTAAAAGGATTTCATGTGAGAAAATCACTGTCCTATATATAATGTGGTTGGCAGGCAAGCAATGATTTAAAATCATCTGTTTTTAAAGCTGTCTTGCTTACAAAAGAATACACATATTCTTATGATTAAAGCTCCTTTATGAACCAGAGATGTAGATGAAAACATATTCAGAGGAAAATACATTTCTGTATCCTTCATGCTGATGAAGCAGGCAGAAATTTTTGCACTGATTATATTAAAATAATTAATTCAGCATATCCGTTTGGAGAGACAAATTCAATTTAGGATGTCTTTACATATTGACTTTGCTATGAGGAAACTTGCTTTGTGGACATTATCAAAGGGAGGAGCAATTTTTATCCAGTAAGTACTAAGGCAAAGAACCAGTTATATGTATTGCAGAGATGTGCGTTATCAGACATTAACAGAACTGAAAATCTGCTGCTTTTTTGCTTGATTATGGTTTTAGAATGGTTTATCAGCTTATTGTTTTTTAAAATGCTGTTGTATGTGTTTGATTTTAACAGTGTTTTGGAAAAATACTAATATGGATGATGATTTTATTATTTTATTGTTCTTACTAATAATAAACCATAGCAATAAATAACAATAATGCATTACAACCACAGCATTGTTGAACCAGACGTTAGGATGCTAGAAATCAGAATAACACTCTGGATGGATTATTCTTCAAAAGTGAACCATCTTTAGATCAGCACAAAACATTATGCAAGCAAACGTCTCTCAAGTAAAGGGGATTTGCTTGTTTTGTTTTGTTTTGTCCTCTTGCCTGCGCATGCTCTAAATCTGCTCTGGAAAGCCCTTCAGTCCTTTGAAGCTGATCTGGAGCAGTGGAGGAGCAGAACGATCTGTTCCGCTGGTGGATGCTATCTGCCAGCAGAATGACCCTCAATAACCAACCCTTATTTACTGTATGTCGCTATTAATACACTAAATATTCTTGAGACAAGTCTTTACGATGTTTCAAATGTATAGCCTGCCACAATAAGTTTGCAATATAGCTCATGAATTTTAGTTAAATCAGTTGTTGGAATTCAACCGTGCATGCATCGGTTTGTTGCCCCTGTCAACCTATTAACTATTGGGTGCAAAAGAGGTATAGATAGTTAGCAGAGGGACTATCTTCTTTCCTTGTCTCAGAGACATACTTAGCATGTCTCTGTGCCTCCTGTTAGTGAGACTGATATTCTCAGGGCTTTCATCCCTTCCTCTCTCTCTCGGTTCAGTTATTCTTTTATCTTCTGACTCTGACCAGTTGGTTTAGGCCCCTACTTGATTTGCTCTCTCTCCACAATAGAGGGAAGCAGGCTACAGGCTTTCAGCTGTAGATAGACTTAAGGAACTCAGGGTTTTTTGTCACCATGCTACTTTCCTAAGTCAGACTTATCTTCATTTTTCTTTCACACAAGCACCAGCCTCAGGAACACATTCTTATAAAAGTTATTTGCCCGACCTTAATGTTTCTCTCTCCATCCCTTCTTTCCACAATATAAAGCTATCAACAAACTAACACTTCTATGACAAAATCAGATTGAAATGGATATATTCTGATATTCCCCCTTTCCTGAATAGGCATCAGTAGAAGATAAAGTTCCTTTACAAGAAAGAATATAGAGGACTTACTATTCTTCTGTAGCTAAACAGGCATTACTAGAGGCAGTAAAGGGAGGAAAATGGCACATAACACTCACACCCAGAACTCTCTTATACCTTTGGTGACTTGTTTACACTAGCTACAAAGAAGGCAATGGTAAACCACTTCCATATTGTTGCCTGGAAGACACGTGGACATGTCCATGTAGCACCAGGTATTGATCTAGAGTCAAACGAGATTTTATCCTTTTACCTTTACACTACCATTCCTTTAGCATTCTGCCATAGGAATGCTGGAGCTCTTGCAGAGAAGAGCATCTGTTTATGTTCCAGCTTCTGTGGCTTTGGGTCTCTGTTTCTTGAGTATTGCTCCTGGGGTCATAGGTTGATTGCTATGACAAATCGGCTGTACTCTTTCCTGAAGACAGGAAATCTTGCTACCACTATTTAGAGTTTTTAAGTTTGAGGATTCACAATTACAGTGCGCTTTGTATCAGTGTATCTTTAAGAAACACAAATTACAGCTCATGTTCTCATAGGAGTGGGGAAATGCAAATTATCTGGTGTGACATTTTGGGGCAACAACTTGTCTCTTCTCCAGTGACAATGACTGTAACTGTAGTAGAAACAGCAAATAGTGATTGGTCATTTATGCATCTCTTTGAATGCATCCCAGTTCCCTACTTTTATGTTACACAATCACACACACCCAATTTTCCCAGCCAACTTATGAGTTATTCAAAGTACTTCTATCCAAGTTAAGTCCATCTCCATCTAATGGACGTATTTTAGCACTATCTCTGATATAATTTCATTGCAACAGTACATTATAGTAACATAGCAATGTGGTTAATCCAATTATGCTACCAAGACATGATAAAACGATCATGTTAGCATTAAAAACAAGCAAATAAACACCCAAAATATCATTAGCTTTAGGATCTTCAGAATTTTTCATAATAATTAATAGAAATGTTTTTAATGGAATCAATATATTTTCTAGATATAGTTGCCTTAAATATTATTCATTTAAGTTATTTTCTATTTTAATCAAGACCAACTGCACTGGAAAATAAAAAGAAGTAGTATTTATAGTGGGCTAAAGAGTTAATTAAAAATACAGCAAGGATCTATGAATGTACAGATTATAAACTTGACAAAGAACTGAAATAACTATCAATTAGAAAACGTTCAAGGAATTCTACATTTATTACTTGCAGCTAATTGCTTTATGTGACAGCAGAAGGCAATTGTCATTAACTCTGATTGTTTAGTAGTTTATAGCACTTGAAATTTCTTTTTATTTTACTAGATATAGAATCTGTATGGCTGTCTTTGAGAGTCAACAAAAATGATTGGTTATGACAGTTGATTATTCATTTGAATCCTTTTCTTAAGAGATATAAACTTAGTAAAAAAAAGGATAGGCTCAATGCTACATGCTCCTTGTGGCCTCTAATTTTGAAACTCTTCATGCAAGACGTCTGGAGTTTGTATTACTGTAAGGGCATGGTGTTCAGTATGTTGGTGACATCCAGCTCTGTTTAACAATATAATCAAGCCAAACTCAGGCAATCTGATCTTTGAACAAGCTTAGGCTAAAATTGATAATAGTGAACTGAGTGGTTCCTTTAATCAGCTTTGCTGATAAATAGTTTCTGTTTGTAGTTTGGTGATAAAGATCTGATCACTATCATCCATGTTTTGGTGATCTCCTGTGGAATGTTACAAATCTTCCATTTTGCCTGATGAAGTGGTCTATGAAATTTGAAACTTGAAGTTTCCTCAGTTCAGTCACAGACACACATCACGCAGTTAGATGTCAGAATGTTTTTTGTAGTTATGATAGTAGGCTATATATAAACCTGGGAAATTGTATGGCTGACAATGGGCATAGGAATAAGTGGCTAAATACATCTACACCCCTGATAATAGACAGATAGTATACCAGGGTACTATAAATGTGCATGTAAGGTTTGATTTAGAAGTACTTCTGACACTGTAGTTACAAATGCTAAATACTTTGGTGTGTCTTATCATTAGTGTTAATGTGTAAGAGAGATGTTCAGTGCAGAGGTGCTCAAGGTCTTCTATGCAGACAAACATCCAGACAGCTTTGCTAGCTCCTAAAACAATCTGCATACATGATGTTATAGCACTACTGTACAACTGTGAAATATTTCTTGTCCCATGAGAACTGGTGCTAAGTAAATTGTTAGCTCAGTTCCACAGAAAACATTAAAATGTTAACAAAGGAAAACTTTCATTCACATGAGTCTCTGATTTTGAAGAAAACTATCAGAAAATTCCAAACCTTCTTAAAATTATTATTGTTTACCTTAAGCCATCCTGCATAGAAGAAAAACTGTAACAATGTGAAGATAGGAATGTAAAGATCTAAATCGTGACCTGGGATGCTTTGATCAGGATCCAAAAACTGACGTCCTATTAGGCATGTGAAGAAGAAAGTATAAACAGCGAGAGTGACAACCTAGAAGAGTTAAAGTTCAGACAGAGACATAGTTATGAATATAATAATGAATGCAGAATTTTTGGTATATTTCCAAAGACTTGCCTTCCCTGACCTAATGCACTTCTGTGGTATTGGACTAAAATTTCCAGAATTCCCAGTCAACATGGGCAACAAGAAATATCTGAGGAAAACTAAGTTGGGGAAGAATGCAAAAGACTCTATTTTCTTAAAATGTGAATTACAAACCTTGATGGCTTATTCAATGCAAAATGTTTCTATTGTGTAAGAGAGATGTCTTTGATTTTATTCCTTCATTCCCCAGTACTTGGCAGTGAATAAACAAAGCTTCTCAATCTATGGTTCTTCAGATCTGTTGTGAGTATGAACCTCATTAAGATCAGCCACCGTTGCTATTCATGCATGCCAGTAAGACTGTATGTGGAGATGATGGAATTGAGGTACCTACAGATTTGAATAGCCCCAAACTAGGGAAAGCCAAATCAGAGCAGTGAAAGGTACAGAAATGTTTTCAAGGTTTGCATATAAAAGTATTGATATTTGAATTTAAAGTTTTCCACACTTAGGATTCCATCCTACCCCAGATGCATCTCAGATATATTTAATAATATGTAAATCTTCACATCTATACCTGTGTGTACACGAGAGGAATTCCAACCCAGTCATAACCAAATAGCAGGCTACACCATGATCGATACCGATTCATCTCCTAAACGGAAAATAAAAACAAATAGAGCGACTGAATTAATACACTGAATTATCTCAGTGTATTAACTGATATGGTGGTGTCTGGCAGGTAATGATATAATGAATTCTGAGGCTACGTTCTGATGACACTTTTTTTTTGGTGCCTTCCAGTCAGTGTTGACTCCTGGTGACTGCCTAGAGTAGCCCCTGCAGTTTTCCTGGCAATTTTTTTGGAAGTAGTTTGCCATTGCCTCCTCCCTGAGGCTGAGAGTCACTGGCCCAAAGTCACCCAGCTGGCTTTGTGCCTAAATTTGGATTAGAACTTACAGTCTTCTGATTTCTAGCCTGGTGCTTTCACCACTACACTAAACTTTTACCCATTGCTAACTTAACCCTGATTTATTTAATTACCTAATTTTCTGCTATTGCCTGACACATTGAACCAAAAGCTAATCATATGAGGTTGCTAGTATGTACTTCAAAATTCCAACATTCCAAACCACAAGGTTAAGCTTAAAAGTGGTTGTAGTTTGTGGTTAAGGATGTCATGTGAACACACTATCTGCAATTGGTTTAGCTGATATGTAATTACATGCAAAAGACTGGGCAGTTCTATATGAGGGGAATGGTGAAAATCTTTAGGTAGGATTTTTAGGCCAAAGACAATATGTTACGAAATAAACAGCACAAACCTGCATAAAACTACTCAGAGGTGCCTCCCTCTGAATTTAGCAGGGCTTTTTACTCAAATATAAATGTGCATACAAAGGCACCATTATAGGGGACATTAAAATGATAGCTTTCAGAAAGAGCTGCCAAAAGATAAGCCACAGATAACGCATCTGAAGTAAGAAGAGCCCAACAGCAGCCATTTTACCTAGTGTTTCCTGAAGCCTGGAGCTGGCCTTCAGATACAGTACCGTGAAAACATTTAGGGTGGGGAGGTGGATAGTTACGGAAGATTCTCCTTGCCTTGAATGCCATTTTCACCTAGGAGCAGCTTTGCACTGGAGTACAAGAACTGAGAATGAAATTCTCAAAATGTGAAAAAAGGGAGATAAGGAAATTGGAAACATAATTTATATGGAGTAGATGAATTTTAAAAAGAAGGCATTCCATTCTTGGCTTTCAAATATTTTTCATAACTGTTCACTGCATTTGCTTACTTACATTCATCAGTGTCTGCAAGTCCACACTATCTCTGATCCTTCCATCTTGTCTTGCTTTGGCTGCCAAATTTCCAAACCAAACAAAAGGGATCCAGTATTTAAGATGGGGTGATTTAAGATCATCAAATATTTTCCTTTCCTCTGCTGTCATAAAACCTGCGTATAAAGAAATGCAGCTGGATTTTGATCACCTGTTTTTTTGTTTCCTTAGAACAGAAGCTCCAAAGCAGGTAAAGTTTCAGTTGGTAAGAATGAATGATCCTAAACTTCTCATGTAATTGTATGCATGTTTATGTATTAAAATATATTGTTCACTTCTTCAAAGAACTGATTTTTAACACGATGCTAAAATCAAGGATGACTATTAGTGGCCAACAAGAAATTACTTTCAAGCTATTTTATCTGTCGTGTGATGAACCCAACAAATATTAATTTTGCAACCCACCCACATGCTATTTTATTTATAAAGAAAAGTAACAATATTTTATCATCTATATATCTGTTATACATGTAGGGGATGCTGTATATTAGTAATATCTTTTTGGCTCATTATAGCTCATGCAGTTTGAAAGAGTTTTGATTCATACAAAGTTAGTTGTGTTTGCCCTACGTGCATTGGTTCAATTCTTTCCACTGCAACATTACTATTACATATATATTTTACAGCATTACTACCTTAGCTGAATTTGGCAAAGGCAACTATCCTGAAGATCACATTCATTTCTCATCCCACCCACATCACCTCCAGAGCAGTTAGTCTCTGGTATGTGAACTGAAGCTCTTACTGTTAGATGATGCAAACCTTTACTAAAGAATATAAGAACAGCCCTGCTGATCAGAGCAAGGCCTAACTTAGTCCAGCATTTCATTTTTCACAGTGACCAACAAGATGCATCTGGGTGTTCCATCAGGAGACTAAAATTTACCTATCACCTATGCAGTTCCTCTGCAACTGTCCTCAGTATATTGTCCCCAGTAGAAATAACACTATATATCCTATACTAATAGTGCTTAATAGATCTCTTTTCCATGAAGTTACCCAAATTCTGTTTGAAAGCCACCCAAGTCAGTCACCTTCATCACATCTTGTGATACCAAATCTCACAGGTTAATTATCCCCTATATGAAGAATTGCTTTCTTTCATCTGTTCAGAAGCTCCTTCCAATCAGATTCATTGGATGAACCTGGTCCCAGTATTTTGAGAGAAGGGGAAAAACCTTTTCCTGTCCACTTCCTCCTTGACAAGCAGGATTTAGGTATTTTGATCTTGTCCCCCTTAAATTACCTTCTTTCCATGCTAAAGAATTCCAAAGAACTAGCATTTTCACACATGGAATTTGTCTGCTGCCCATTCCACATTTTTCCCAGCTCTATTTTATCTTTTAAAAAATTGTGGTGACTGAATTGCACACAATATTCCAGATGGAGATATAGTAAAGATTTGTATTAGGGCATTACAGCATTGGTAGTTTTATTTTCAGTCTGTTTCCACATTGATCCCTAGCATGGAATTTGTCTTTTTCAGAGTTTTGATATATTGAATAAAAAATGGTTGACCGTATACCTGGATTAAAGATTATAGCTCTTTCTGGTAATTTTCATAATCATGTTTGGTTTTTATTATTGAATAAAAGATTGAAATCACCTGCAGATTTGGCCAGCTCACTGTTTACTCCTAGATCAAGGTAATTTATGAACAAATTAAAAAGCATCAGCCCCAACGTAGATCTTTGAAGGGCTCCACTTGTTACTTCCCTTCACTGAGAAAATTGCCCATTTATTCCTATTCTTTGGTTTCTGTTTTTTCTGCTCCTTTCATCAGAAACTTTGTCAAAAGCTTTTTAAAAATCCAAGTATACAATGTTGACAAGGGAAGTTTCTGCCATCTGACTCCTCTAAAACAATTTCATAAAAGATGGTGAGGCAGGATTCAAAGAGTTTGGGCAGACAGGAAGGATTCAAATTGTTTCAGATATCAGAACGATGTCTGAAGAACACTGTGATCTAAGTATACTGAAATGGATTATTCCTAAATAATGAAGCCAAATGCCAGAAAAGAGTTGGTAGCATCTAGAGGCTACAATTATACACACATTAACTTGGGACTAACTCCTACAGAACTCATAAATACATCTATGTTAGCTGAAATCACTGGACAAGTTAGACATTGTGCAGGAGATATATAGCAGTGTTCCGTTAAAAAGCAGAATAAAACAAAAAACAAGAAAATTGAAGTGCTGGTAGACTGTGAATTTGATCCCAGCAAAGGGAAGTTTTTTTTATTGTTTAAATCAGTAGTGCCCACCCAGCATCTTTCCTGTTGGCAGAAAAAAAGATACATGCATTGCAACTTCAAACTCCTATCCTCTCCCCCACTGACAGACAGTGCTATGATATGGTGAGAGTTACACAAAGTGCTGAGCCTTGTCCTGAGGTTGGTCACGTGAGACATTTTACAGAATAAGGCAGGCTTCCCCAATATGGTGCCCTATTCCTTCTATCCTTCCATTGGGTACAATGGCTGAAGATGATGGAAGTTGCAATCAAAACATTCTAGAGGATACCAGGTTGGGAAACCGGGAGTAAGGCATGAGGTCATATAAAATTATAACAATAGCTTCATAACTACTTGTTTCTTGCAATGCAGTAATAGTCTATTAAGTGTGATTGCAGTGGCTCTACAGTCGATGAGCAGCACCATCCCAAATATCGCATACACTGGGAAATGTTAGGTCAAAGACAGGAATGAAAATAAGTGAACAGTACCTCCTTCTACCACATGTTCTATGGTTGGAAATCTTTTGTAGACGGCTGTGCTCACTGATCGAAAGATGAGGAGAGATGTTAAATTCACATAACGCATTAGAGTTCTCCTGAGTAAACGACCATACTCATCTCTTCCCTGAACAGTGCTGGAGATCAAGAACATAATTCTGTCTGGCCATGGCAGATTTACAAATTGGTTCCACCAACGGTTCACCACCAAAGTAACATAGAACCCTGGAGAGTCCAAAAATCCTGATTCACATTTCTTGTTATACACCCCACAGAAGAACTTCTAATAATATGTACAGGTAAACTCTACATACACCCTTCTAGTAACTCCCTTGACATCTATTAGTAGACTATTTTCCTCCCATCCCTGCTCCAAATACACTGATGACATTTTAAGCCATCCTTTGCCTATCTGGCTCTCTCCAACTGTGGCCACACAAGGAATTACAGCTCCAATATATCTGGAGAGCCGTAGAGTAGGGAAGGGTGTCCTAAATCAGGTGTGAGTCACTTTTAAGATTTGAGGGAAGCTACAGTGGATGGGTTAATCACTCACAGAATAAGACTGGGCCATTTGCCACATATAGGTGGGAGTTTGGAATTTTATAGATGCTTCAGAGTTTTCTTTGTTTTTAAAGCCACATTAAGCCAGTAAATGATTGTGTGGTGGCACCAATTAGAGGAATTCATTTGGAATGTTATTTAATTTTGTAATATAGTTGTATATTTATATACCACCCAGAGTCCTTAGGGATTGGGACATGTTGTAACAATTGTAAAGTAGATTTTAGATTTTACACTTCAGTTATGTAGCCTTGCAAATGCAGATTTTCCACCCCTGTTCTACATGAAATGGAGTATAAGCTTACCCAGAACAAAAGTGACTGGGATTTGTTCTGCATATTTGTCACAGTAAATGGACAATTTCTCAAAGTACCGTTTCTGGCTTACCGAAAGGAAACATCTGTGACAAAGAAAGACAGGGACTTTTGATATAAAGACTAAATAAATACAAATAAAGAACAAAGATAAGTATCCCAGGACACTCAGCATTAAATTGCACATTTGATCATAGCAGAAGGAAGTGATAGATTCTGCAATGAGAGATTTTACCAGAGGTTCAATTGGAGACTGTAATAGCTGTAAATTGCAAAGCTACATCAGACTTAGAACTAGGTTTGTGATGGATTATATTAGTAATTGTAGCAGAAGGAAATCTTTAAATGATTGCAAAATAAACACTTCCGAATTTAGTTCTGCTTCAAATTGTACTTCCGCAGGGAGATGAAATTCAGTTAGAATTTGAAGCTGAGCTGAATTTTCTCACATCACAGTCACTGGAGATGTTGATTGTGAATTTACATCTCCATGAAATGACAATTGCCACATAGTGTCCTTCAGAGACAACTGACTCACCATTTCTTGATTTTTTCCCTCAATGGTAAAGACACTAATTTTGTTTAGCACATGCCCTCTTTGTCAAAGTACCATTATAAAACATAAACATGTTTTATAAAAACATTATAAAATACTAAAACATATCATTTTAATAAATGTAATGATGTTTATAATACATTTGATTCTACATATAACCAAAAATTCCATTCATTCATTTTTAGTGAATTGACTAAAATCTTTGCTTTAACTGCAAAATAATCAGATTTAAACAAAATGCTTGAAAGCTGCAAAAAAGCAAGCTTGAGAAACAGTGCTTTTGCCCAGCTTGTGTAAGTTTCAACACAGCTTTTTTTTATAAAACTTTCTTGAATAGTTATGATCTATATAATCATATATACCAATAACAATTTCATTTTCCAAGTCCCAGTGTTTATGTAGTCAAAATGGTACCCTAGATGTACAAGAGAGAAACATCAGCAGATATGGGAGAACATCAAGACTTGCAGAAGTACAAAAGAAAAAAAAAAGATAGGGAAAACTTCTAAAGGAGGAGTCAGTAAGATATTTCTATTAGGACTAAGCATACCATAAAATGCTGAGTATTTAGCTGGATGGTGAAGAGATACAGAAAATTGGGGAAAAGAGATGGAAAAGGAGTGTGGCTGTCTAGAATCCCCAAAAGAACCACTCCACACTGCAACACTTCAGGTCCCACTTGTTTAGTACAATATCAAACACTCTCCTACAAGCATCAGGGAGACAGAGCATTGTATAATGTGAAAAAAGTTGTACCTATACAATATACTTATCGCTGTGTAAAGACAGGCAAAGAGAATAAATTCTCGGTAAAGCAGTTTGTAGATGCTTCCTTTCCATTTGAGAAGTAGCCTGTGGAACCCAAAGAAGGTAGCATTTGCAACTTTACTGGAATATGTGACGGTCATGTCTCCAAAATGCTTTTGAAAAAATAGAAGACAAAAGCACAACGTGAAACCGATGGACTTTATGGAGAATACTGATTTAAACATAAGCCATCATGGCTTTCGCAATGAAAGGCATCATCAGAGTCTTCGTGAACTGGATATATGTATAATTTAATCAGTCACAAACTACAGTTTTCCAAGTAGCTCTTTTAGAATTACAGTAATGTAGTTAATTCTCCAACCTGTTGGCCTTTAGATACATTGGAGTAACTCCAAGGAAGCAGAAGTCAAATACACCTGGAGGTCACTATGTTGAAGAAGGCCGATGTAGGTGGTGAATTCCATAAGAGATACCAGATCCTGCAACTGTGTGGCAATCCTGCTGACAGACAGGAAATGTACTGCCTTACTCAACTACTAATCGTGGCACTGCAAAAGGGTATTAACAATAAAGCCTCAAGGTAGAACTGCTGAACCAGAACTCCCCCCCCCCATTTTTATGTTTTGTAAACTACCCGGGGTTGTGGTACATAATATGGGCAGCTATATAAGTCCTTTAAAAACATACATGCATGCATACAATCAAATAAAACTAATTAGATTTCAATTGTACATAAATCAACTTTTCATTTACTGGGTAAAATCTGCAGAGTAAATTCATATACCCAAATGAAGTCAAATGTTCCATTAGTAGGTCCCTGATCTGAAATATTTTCATTGATTAAGCTAATTAAAATCCAATGTATTTGTCTTTATTGATGGTGTACATTGACCAGCAACAAGAAACTATCTAATAAAAATGTTAGATGCAATTTTACTCATAGTTTCTGGAAGGCATGATCCTTTGACGATACTTTGGGACCCAGTCAGTGTTAAAAAAAAAAAAAAATTAAAAGATGATAAAAACATTAGCGTTGAGCTATTTAGTGATTCTAGTTCTAACTCAAATATCGCAAGAGTTTAGTAAAGTACGTTTAAACATGTCTCAGTAGCCTATATTAAAAGTAATAATTAGAGGTATTATTTTTCCTTAAGGCCTGGTTACCAAAAAACAAGGAGGAGTTGGAAGAAATTTGAGAGTCATGTATGGTAGGAAATTTTCCACCATATCCCTTTCCATTTTTTTTTAATGCAAACATTTTGGGGCAAGTTAATCCCATATTGCTGTAAGCATGTAGAGCAAATCTAATTTATAAGCAATGAAGGGACCATGGAAGGGCCTCAGTTATATTTAAGCAAAGGGAGGCTTATGAGTGATACACCTTCACAAAGCTTTGCTATGTACCTTTTGAGGTGGGAAACAGTCTAGATATTGATTAAATGTTAAATTGATTGTCCACGCTAGAAAGGTCCTGTTAAGAAAACAGATGCAGATGAACTCAAGCACTCGGAGAGATGCCAAAACAAGAAGAAACACAATAAGATTCTGGAAACACTCACCGTTTATTCTGGCTAGGCCACTCAAATACAGAGGTGATGATGTGGGGCTGTTGTGTTCCCCAAATAAAAACATTCAGGTTACTTTGTTCCTCTCTTTGCTTTCGGCACGCAGCCTATCAGGGGCTCCAATTTCTCCCTGGAGCTCTCACAGGACTGGACTGACAAGCACAGGGGTGAACGCATCTTTCCACTTCGGGAAGTGTGTTTTTGCCAAGTTTTCCTCTGCTGTCACTTACAACTGAGAACAAACACAAGCAACAGCTGCTGATCTGGCTCTTCTCTAATCTATAATTATCACTCCACTTGTTCTTCACAGGAGGACCCCTTTGGTGCAAACTCAGAATCATGGAAATAATTTGCATCAACCTTTTCCAGTCTGGATGCATTCCTTCTGCCATCTCTCAGCGACATAATAATAATAATAAAAAAGATCAACTATTCAAAGAAGAAAGAAAAGAAATGGAAAAGTAAGAAAGAAGGTAAAAGAAAAATGTCGTTACAGTCTTATTTTGTTGCTATTAAAACATAAGAGTCAGAAAGGAAAAAGGGGGCAGGGCTTTTGGAGTTGTGGCCTAAGAACAATGTGAAGTTTATAAATTTGTGCTAACTAGTCAAAGGGGACAGGACCAATAAAAGGATATTACCTTCCTGATGTTCTTCCTCCTGAATATAGTTTCCACAGGATGGACATGATACAGCATGCAGGTGCTATGGAACCTATGCTTTAAAAAGTCCCAAACTCTAATCACAACAGACGAAATGTACACAGTGATTAAGAATTAGATGATTCAAAATGCAATTCCAAAGAAATTTATCTCGCAGTATGTCCCAGTGACCGCAGTGGTTTATTGACACATAAATATGCATAAGATTGCTTTGAAAGTTTACATATTTCTGTACTTTTATCTGCAGTACCTCTGTGAATAGATGCTATTTGAGTGCCACAACTGATAAGGAGCTGTTAAGTGGAAAGTTAGAAACTGTGTTATTCATTTTCTCATACCTTACAGGATAGCAAAGATGGAGCTCTGTGGAGGATCTGGCAATGGGATAACTGGCAAAAAGACATAGCTTAGAACTTCTAATGTAGAATAATTTATGATGAGAAGTTACTGTAGAACAAATATCATTTGGGTAACAAATGATAAAAGTGGCTGTAAATTCAACCAAGTTTTATTAGTGTTACTAAGGCAATGGATGGAGAGGCAGGACGACATATATTTTATCTAGGGGAGAGGACAAATTTTCTAATATTGGTCAATAGATCAGTCAACACCATCTATTAATCTAGCAGATCATTCAGATTTGCCATTTGGAAAGTTGGCAAAGTTGGAAATAGTAAACAGCTGAGGAAAATGGAGTTGGACTGTATGGGCTAGGAAACAGAAATAAAACAGGAAAGTAATTTACCCATTTCTACTAACTTAATGATTTCTTCATTGTCAACACGTTTTTCAAACAACCAAACGGCACCAATATGCATGGACATTGCCAGATAGAATACACAGAAATCAAATTGACTATGTTATTGGTACAAAGAGGTGGAAGAGCTCAGTTATAACAGCACAGGGCTGACTGTGGAACAGATCACAAAATGCTCATGTGCAAGTTCTGCTAAAGCAGAAGAACAAAGCCAATCAGTTTCTACAATATGATCCTAAGCACATTCCCACCGTTTTGCAAGAAGAATGCCAGGAACTGCTTTGAAGTCCTGAACTTCATTGATATGGAACCAGAGGACTATGGAATAAAATCAAACAAGTTGTCAAGGCCAAATATGAAAAGAGACTACCAAGGACCAAGGAACAGAATAAAACAAACTGAATGTTAGAACAAACAGTGGAAATTGCCATGAAGAAAAGAGAAGCCAAAGCCAGGAAAGACAAATATCTCAGGAACAAACTTAAAAAATTCAGAAAGCTATTAGAAAAAACAAGAAGCAGTATTACAATGACATTTGTAAAGATATCAAAGATAGAAAAGCCATGAAAAAAGAATGAAAATTTCCCTAAAGATCCCTGAACTCAGAAGGAGATTCCAACCTCAAATTGGTATACTAAAGGATACCAATGAACAGATAGTAACTTGTTCAAAGAACAACAAACAAAGATAAAGGAGTAAAGGATAATGAAATTCTGTACAGTGGAAATATCAACATCCAAGATACCTTAGAACAGTGGTTGTTAAACCAATTACCTGTTTTAAACTGTTAAACCAGTTACCTCTTTTCCTGGTCTCAAATAATGTCATTACCCCTACAAAAAACCAGATTCTGTTCTTTCACCAAGCATTTTGGCAGCAGCACTCCCAAACCTAATCCTTGACTCACAAGCAAGGAATTACAAATTGCTCCGTTACCCCAGATTGCTTGGGGGTAATTACCCTAGTTTAAGAACCACTGCCTTAGAAGATATTTCCTATTTACAAGACCTTCTAGTATTAAAAGATAATACTTGATCAGCTAGATCAGAACTCTGGTCATTACCAAGTCAGAATGCTACAGGAATTGATAGAATCTATCAGAATTGTTTATTGATTTATCTTATTTATATGGCCGCCCATCTCACAGCAGTGACCCTGGAGTACAAGTTTAAAATAACACTTAACCATCTAAATCACAACGTCCAAGGCCAAACAGAAATCCCAATGTATAAAAACAGCATTAACCAGCAGAGTTCACTTAACCTCCTGGCCCAAAAGCTGGGGAACAGCTATGTCTTCATTGCCTTACAAAATGCTAACAGGGTTGGGATTATTCAGATTTCCAGAAGGATGCTGTTCCACAGGGCAGGCATTGCCACAGAGAAGGCACAACTCCTGGATTCAACCAGATGATGCTGTTTGATGAAAGAGACCTGGAACTTTCCTTCCCTTCTAGATCTGGTGGGCTGAGCAGAAACAATGGGAGACAAGCAATCCTACAAATAGTCTGGCCCTTTGCCATGTAGGGCTTTATAGGTAATAACTAGCAGCTTGAATTGCACCTGGAAGCCTACTGGAAGTCATTCCTTTCAGTTTGTGGAGCAGTGATGTTATATGAGTGAAGTGAGAAATGCAAAAAACTGCCCGCATCACTGCATTCTGGACCAGCTGCAGCTTCTGAATGCTCTTCAAAGGCAGCCCCATGTAGAGTGGATTACAGTAATCCAAACAGGAGATGACTAAGGCATGAGTCACTGTAAGCATGGCATCCTGGTCCAAGAAAGGGTGTAGCTGGGGCATAAGACAAATCCATGGAAAGGTCACTCTAGCTACAGCTGCCACTTGCTGTTTGAGCAGGGGCCATCAATCCAGATAGACCCCCCAATTGTTTACCACCTCTGATTGGGGGAATGCACCCTCTGTTACGGCTCTGCTGGATTCATCTTCTGATGAGTTTACCCATCTCTGGGCTGTGGCAAGCATCCAGCTTACTATCTTGCTGGTTGGCAACCAGCAGTATTAGCACAGAAAACCCTTAGGCAGAGTTAAAGATGGAAAATCTTCAGAACTGGAGTGTCTTAAAACCCATAGCCACTTAGTCTTACCAGGGTTGAGCCAAAACCTGTTTTCCATTCAATCCCCCACAGCCTCCAGGCATTAGGAAAGGACCATAAATTAGCCATATTTTATCCTAGTGTGTTGTGGGAAAGAAGACTGTTTTGTTACTTGATGATCCACTGTGTGGTGCAAACCTAGTAAATTCTGTTGAAGAAGCCATTTCTTCAACAGAATTTACTTGTTATGTTGTTAAAGAATAAACTTGTTATGCAAGCATAACCTCTGCTATCTAATCAAGATGCTGCAAATTCTATTAGAGCCCAATCATGGCAGGTATCTATGTAAAATAATAATGTGACAATTTGTGGGATTTACTCACAAATGTGTGTGTATAGGATAGAAACATAGTGACTAGGTTCACACAATTTGCTAAAATAGGCTAAAATGGGCTCAGTAGTTCAGTATGTTGTGGGAAACCAAGTCATTGTCCTAGCATTCTAAGTGAATTAAATCACCAATTTAAGCCATTAAAAGACTTATTTGATTAGGATCTTATGTGAACACAGCTGTTGTGTTCCGGTAATCCAGGTTTAGGATTGAATACATGATGTGAACTCATCCAGGAAGCTGTACAGTATTTCTTGAGCGAGATAACTGAGTTGTCTAATGCAGTATTGTTGATCCTGATTGGCCATAATTCTCAGGATTTCAGACAAGTTTCCAAACTTATGTGAAGATGTTGAAGCTGAGGTTTTTTACATGCAAAGGATGTGTTCTGCTGCTTGCTATATTAGAGAACCTGATGAACCATATTTCAAAATGGTGCAACTGAAATAATCTGTACAGTGCATTACATGAAATATCCTTCAGACATTTGATGTCAATTTTAAAGCCCACTTGCCAGGAGAGAAAGTACTACTACATTTAATAGAACTGTTTCTGAAGAAATAAGGATTTTTACTTGATTTGTTCCTCTTTTATCTCAGAGAAGGGGAATCTATAGCTCTCCTGTGGAATGCTTGCATGTGTAATTACTTTAGGCATCTCTCACTGGAGGGAAAAATAGCCTGGAAATTAATGGCAGGAGTAAAAGCCTTCTTCAAGGATTAGGGTGCTACAAGTGATAATGGAACTGTTAGCCCACAACTCCCAGAATTCCCAGTCAGCACAACCAATGTGGAAAACAGGGGCTTGAAATATGGCACTTGGGGAGGCCATTTTCTCCCTAGTGATTTATTATGTATTATGCTCATCACACTCATCTATTGTTGTGACAAAGGAAAGCCTGTCTTCACTGATATACTAGTACTTCAATGGTTGTATGACATAATGGGCTCATATCCCTTTAACTATGGCATGAAGTTGCTCTGTGAACAGTTTTTAAATGACATGTCCTCAAGAGGTTGCCTTTCTGTTGCAGAGGCAGCTTAGAGTTATTTTTAGCTGTTTCAGTTTAAAAATAATTTTCCATATTCTCCTGACCCAATTCTGGACCTGGCCACAATCAGAATAATTTCTCAATGATGTGGTTGATGACCCAGTCAGAGACTGGGATCTGCCCAGCTCCTATTGGCTATTTTCAGGATCCTTTGGGCATGACCCCTCCCTTCCAGTCACTGAGAACTGCCCTCCATGGCCATTTCAGCTTGAGCTATAGGAGCGACCAGACACCTGGTTTCTGCAGAAGCACCTGTTCACATAATGCTTGACTGGAAAGTGCTGGTCAGACCTCCAACAGGCCCCTCATATACATTGGTTTAGTGCTTCTTTGAAAGTGTGCTAGACCCATGCCCTAAAATAACCCAGCTGACAGGTCATAGGCATGGAGGAGGGTTTCCAAAGAAGCAGGCTCCCTCCTGCTTCTCCCAGCATGCCTCTCCTTTTAGTTGAGCTGGAGCACAGACATATACCAATGGAATTCAGTAGTTATTTGCACTGATGGGGTGTGAACTTGTAATGGAACATCTCTAGTTAGCCTGTGGCTTCCTGAAAGTTAGTGGCAGTCCTTGCAATGAGCCAAGGAGTTCAATTCTGATTTCAGGGTCAGCAGTATGTAGAAGTAGAAGCAGTATGTATCCAAAAGGCCAGTCTGGCATTTGGTGAGCAGATGCCTCTGTGGAAACCAGGTGTCCAGTTTTCCCTGCAGCACAAGCCCAACTGGGTGTCAGGGCCAACCTTGCCCCACCACACTTTATGGAGAATGTTTGGTGATTGTTCTTCCAGCCAGCAGGTGATGCTTGCTGGGAAGGGAAAGGAAGCCAAAGGACCCACTAATCATTTTCACTAACTTGGCCCCCATTAAAACTGTAGGGACCGCCCCATTCACTGGCCTTGCCACGTCCGAGGCATCATAGGACTTCACTTAGGGGTGTCCACAGGGTGTGGTCAAAAGAATAAAGATGGCAGCCAGGTCTATTTTTTTATGCATGTCATGCATAAAACACAGGTGGAGCTTTGATTGCACCATTGTGGCTGCCATTTTGAGGATTTTTACCACACTACCCAGTGGATACCCTAGGTCACAGCTTATACAAATGTACTTTTCTGGCAAAGGCCAGGAGATTGTCCATCATTTACTCAGCCATGAGAAAAGCTTTATAAGTGGAAATGGTCTTGAGAGTGTTAAGTCAAGCTACACTTTTCCGGGAAAGAAATCCTGCTCAGCCTCAGGCGATTTCTGTCCTCCTGAATCAGAAACCGGACTACAGAGCATTTTTTCGGGGGTAGGAGGAAGCCTCGCACGGGCCACTTCAGCTGCTTTAAACAGCTACCATGGAAGCAGGTCATGTGGCTAAAATGATGAGAATACAGTTTGTAGATGTCCTCATTTCGCTTCTCTCTCTCATAGAAAACGCTGCACAGGATGAGTCCAAGCGAGGGCCAATTTACAGCTGGCCAGCAGTATATTCTTGGCCCCAGAGGGATCAGCCTCTAACGCCCGCCCTCGCCCGCCCTCGCTTCCCCGCGAAACAGCGGCTTTGACGAAGCAATCGGCCGACTTCCACTTCCACTCCAGCGGCCGAGCGTGAGGTCGCGAGACGCATCCTCTAGGGGGAGCCGCGTAGCTCTCCGCCCCGCCCCCGAAGTCCTACCTGACATAGGCGGACTCTGGTTCCGCCCTGATCGAGGTTGTTGTGCTTTTAAACGCATGCGCAGCCGCGCCCCGTTGTGCCTCCGCCGCTGGTGTTAAGGTTCGGGAACTCGCAGCCGGAGCGAGGAAAGAAGTGGGAGCCGTGGTTGGCTCGTCGTCTGCGGTTGGGAAGAGCGGTCTCGCTGCCCCCGCCAGGTAAGTCTTGCTGCTAGCTTCTTTCTCCTCCTCCTCTTCCTTTTGGAGCCACTCGAAAGCTGCAGCGCCGGAGAAGTCGTGCGGTCCAGAGGCATTGGATTGCAACTCCCATTACCTCTGGTTAGCGTGGCTGGGGATTCTGGGAGTTGTAGTCCGACAAATTGGAGGGCACCAGGTTGCAGAAAGATGGACTTACGCCTTTTGCGTCGCTCCTGTGCCGTCATCGCCTGTGCTTAATAGGACCGCGTTTCTTTTCCCATTCTCTCAGCAATCACAGTTTTTATTTCTCCTTACTCAGGTGTTTCAGACGCCGTTCTGGGCGAGCGCGTGTGCAAGGTCACTTGAACGCCTAGGTTTGAGTCCCTTTGCTCACCTGCGGCCGGGAATGATTCCTTGCACAAATACACGCACACACTTCAAATTATGTCCAGTTTTGTAGGTGGACTAACACCAGAGATCATTATGAAGTGTCTTCAACAGCCACATGGTGCTTTTAATTCGTATGGGAGAAGGGAACAGTGTGATAAACATAGGATATAAACACACGGATATATGTATATTGGTATTTCTGGCTTGGAAGATACCCCAGTATCTCACCGTGCAATCAGCATTCAGAATCTCCTGTTGGGGCCTGAGCGTCCAGCATCCATTGCGCTTTCTTATTTTCAAAGTCATCAGCAATCTGCTGCTTTGCACTCACCAGTCCAGGCTACTTCTCAGGTTCCCTATATTCACAGTTAACCATCTCAGGCCCAGAAGCTGCACGTTTGAACTGATAGTTTTCATCATTCATGTGAAGTGGATGCTGATAAAACTGATTGTTTTCCATGATGCTGCAGCGCTCTTGTTTTTCCCCCGAGAGGCTAAGACAGCCATTCTGGAAATCTTTATTTTGTTTGTCAGAAAGTGAGCACTGGGATAACCTTGATGCCTGAAAATGTGCAGAGTAATACCTTGTGCTCTATAGCAACAACAATTTTGTCTAGCCTTGCAGAATCACTCATCTTTCCCCAATATCTGTAACTTGTGTTCTTTGCCTCCCTGAATCTGCAAACTAATATAATGCTATCTTTCCTACATAACTTTTATTATGTATGAAAGACAGAGTGTTCGTTGTAGTGGCCAGAATAATTTGTCTGGATTTGATCGATTTCTGATAATAGGTTAATATTTTTTAACTGGTGATTACCAGTACTGTAAATACTGCAGATTTAAAGTAATAATAGCATTATACCACTGAGGTTAAATTGGTTGAGGGAATACCAGAGTACATGTTCTTCCAAGAGTCACATTGAAAGTCCTGAATGAAGTGTTGTTTGATACAAATTTTGTATATCAAGCAGGATTTATTTTTAAAAATAGTGTTTATTTCTTTGTTGAAATTAATAGATTTTGGATTATTTTAAAAAATGTTTGAAGTTGTGCATAGTCTTGAAAAATTACATCTGATAAATAATGGAAAAATTAATAATGTATTACTACCTGAGCTTAATGTATTATATATAAAAGGGATTGGTAGACAAAAGTTAAATAAAATCATATGTCCTTTTACATCTTTCACTTGATGTTTCATGTACATTGTATGTGTCCATGAACCATTATTTTTAGTCTGTTTTTCTAGAGTTGCAGAATTCTTATACGCTTAGGTTAACATTACCTTGAGAATAAAGTGGGATAAATAATTCATCCTACTCATTATGTTTTTAATAAATAATTAGTCTGTGTGTGTAATTTGCAGTTGATGCCTAGCTCTGTTTAAGGGGAGAATAGTTGTGCAGGAGAATTCTGGTGGAACTAGATTTTTCTTTTCAATAGAAACTATTTTGACTAGGTACAAGAAAAAGGTTCTTGGCAATATATAAATTGGATTACTTTTAATTGTTTTTGAGGTTATTCTGAAATGTTTCAGTGAATATCACAGTGATGTACACTGTTTAGCAAAGCTGAGCAACCAGACTGCAAGTGTTTCCAGAAAGTGTTTCCTATGTATCCCAGTGGCTTCCAAAAGTATTGCCAAATGCAAATTGTAAAATGGCAGATGGGAGATGTTATTTGGTGCATTACTGAAAAGTATTCATATTATTTGACTTTAATTTAAATGTAAATCAAAGGCAGCTTTTATCCTAACCATCTATTATTTTTATGAATGTAGCCCCTGACATGTTACTTAAAGTCCAGTTCGGGACTTTGCTCCCCCCCCCCACAAGTGGTGCAAGCCTCTGCTATGAAATATTGTGTATTTATTTCCTACAGTTAATATTTCAGTTTTTAAGAATATTATCCCTTCAGGACAGTTTGTAATTAATATTAAAATACATTCATGAAATCACAGTTATAGACATACATAAAATCTTCACAATCCAGTGAATATTTTTGAGGTAATTGTTTCAGATGACCCTCTGAGTCCCCAGTCTGGCTCTTCATAAAATAATGAGTTTAGAAACCAGAACATGAATTAATATCTACAATTTATGGCTGAATACGACCTCCTTTCCTCAGGGCCCAAGTCCCTTAATATTTCCTACTAATTTGACATCCAGATGCAAGGGTGAAATTGAAGAGAAAATGCTTCAGTGAGGTCTTCCCTCCTATTATGAAATGAATTGAACTAAAGTCAAGCAAAGATTGCACTAGTCTCTGGTGTGGTTAATAACCAGACAGATCTTGGAATCTGCCCTGCAAATTATTGGATATTTTGTAAGTATAGTATTAGGCAACAGTGCTTCCAAATCTAAAAGTACTTTGGCTATTCAGTCTTCCCCCATATTGCAAAGTGTTATTACTCAGTTTAATATTCTTTCAGTGGTATTGGAAGGCAGGTTCAGGAATATCCTCCACAGTGCTAGAACTTACACTTGTGTTTCAGTGGTCATTGAAATGTTGCTCCATGCCCCCCTTTACTGTACTTTATTCTTATACAGGTGTAACAAAGTATTGCCTTTGATTAGGAATATTTCTGGACAACTTGAAGAATTTTATATTATCTTTGGGATGACCAACACCTTATTTCAGGTTATTGCATTTTCCTGCTTTCTCAGACTACCCTTGTCAGAGGAGAATATGGTTGTGCTAATGTTAACGTTTCCTACTCATAGTATCTTTTATTATACATTTTATTATAAATCATTGGTGCTGTTCAGTATTGCTGTCTTGTATCTTGGTCTGTGGCTGTAATAAAACCAATCAGGCAACTAGTTGCAGATGACCTGATAAGCTGGTAATGGTGGAAGAAGTTCAGCTGGAGTAGACTCCGATGTTATCTTTGCCTGTGTTCCTCCTTTCCTTAGATTCTATTCTATGTAATGATTGCTGATTGCATAATTTTTATGGGCACTTTTTTGTGCCTTCAAATCAGTCTTGACTCCTGGTGACTGCCAGGGCTAGTCCCTGAAGTTTTTTTAGCAATATTTTCAGAAGTGGTTTACTCATGCCTTCTCCTTGGGACTAAGAGAGAGTGACTGGCCAAGGTCACCCAGCTGGTTTCATGCCTAAGGCAGACCTAGAACATACTGACTCGCAGTTCCTAGCCTTGTGCCTTAACCACTACACCAAACTGGCTCTCTTGGACACATATATGGTCATTTATTTTGCTCAAATTATTCTCAGCTTTTAAAAGAAGATAATCCTTAGCCCTGGTATATTAAATATTTATGATCAGCTGTTACATTTCATTGGCCTTCATTCGTCATTGTTGTGTTCTTTTGATTACATAGGCTCCTGTTTGGTTGCAGGAGCTATTCTTAACAGATGTACTGATGAACTAAGGAATTGTTTTGTTAATGAAGTTGAAGAATTACTATGTGTTAAGAAAGGTAAGACATTTAGAGGTAATAGAATTTTTTTTGGTTGTCCTTTGTACTTTGTACTCAGCTGATGATTAGGAGATTGGTAGTTTAATCATTGCTGTATATGACAAATATTTACTATTTTTAGTCTGAAATTAATCTTTATTAAAAGAGGTAGTAGATGTTAAACTCACTAAGTAGAGTCAACATTATCTCCAGCTTTAGTCCCTGAAGGACAACTTTTGTTGGTAACACTGTGTAAGTAACTATGTTTTTTTTGTTTTCTTGATGCACATTCAAATCTATATGTAATCTTTACTCTTTTTTCTTAGCTTGGACTTAGTCTAAGTTTGGTGTCTGTTCGAAAATGTAGGGCTTTCTTGGGGCAGGAAAAAAATACAGGGATATTTGTTAACAAATACAAAATAACTGAAGGGAAAATAATTTATTCAAAGAAAAAAACCCCTTAGTTTTTAGCAAATAATATTTATTTTCTAATGGTTGGCAATATCCTTTAAATATTATTAAAATTGCAAATAAATAAATAAACTGTACCCTTCAAAATTAGTAATGCTATTACATTGACTTTTTACGAGGAAATTTGGCTTTAGAAGAACCTGACTTGGAATTCTCCCAGTGGTGGTGGCTACAGCTCATATCATTCCCCTCTTTAAAATGATAGTCAATACTTTGAAATACATACATTTGAGAAATACTTAGACTTAACTTGAATTTGTCTTTTCTTATCAGTTGAATGTTACAGTTTTCAAAGATACTCCTGTGCTGGTTCTACAATGTAACATTTTTCTTTTTCTTATTTATTGGATTTATATTCTGTCTTTCTGCCAGAAATCATCCCCAGGAGAAATTTAATTTTTAAATGTTCAAATGTAATGTTTAATCTTTTTAAGGTAATCATTCTTTTTGTATTAATGGTTTTAAAAGCTTCTGGAAAGGTTGTCTTTCGGGCTCTTTGCTTGTGATTATTGCAAAAGATTTCCCTTACCCAACACTACAAGGAAAAGTAGCTGGTAATAAATCATCAAAAAACAAAAGGGATGGTCTTCTCCAACAGCCAGTCAAATTTCACAGGGGGTGTTAAAATAATCAGGCCATAGAACAAGCGAAATGCCTTAAATCTAGGAGTGGTTTTCCAATCCTATAGAAAGAAAATAGCTCAAGTTAACTACTGTGCCTTTGTCATAGTCCAAGAGT